AGTGTTTTGAAAGTTAAGAAACCATTAGTTTTCATTAACATGGTTCATCAACACCTTATGCCAATACGTGTTAACGTAATTTCTTGTGAAGACTGAAAACACAAAGACACTAACTTTGAATGTTTCTACAGCTCCCATAGCAGTATCCTGTAATCTAAAAGCTAAGACTTGTTTAATTACACCTATTGAATTAAATATTAAGGGCACATCTATTGTACAGTGATACAAAGAATCACTCACACTCAAAAGCTTCCAATCTTATTCCAGAGTTTTAAACGTCTATTCTGGTGATGCTAATATCCTGAATAAAATCAAACTTCTAAAAAATATTAAATTTCTTCTAATCACTAGAAACGTTAATCTCTTTCGCTCGACCGAGTCGTTCTGAGTGAAGGCTTGCACGCGCGTACGTTCTCGGTTCTGGCACCCTCCACCTCGCTAATTGTTCGTCGCGTTAAAAGTCTGTGAGATGCGGCTGCTCCGATCGCACTCTCCTAATCGTATAATCACGCTCTAGGCAGAAAATCAGGTAACGAGATAATGGTGCACACACATTTAAGACGGTACCGACGACAGAATACTGTATTAACTTCGAACATACGTTAACATTGATTTTCAATGGAACATGGTATCTGTAAAGTAACATTCGATTGGTGCGCTGTGATAACAGACGTACCCGAGAATCTCGTTTTCATTCTTTTTCTTCTTTTATGCTGTTTCCTTCTTTTCTTTTCACTTTTTTTTCGTTTGTTTGTTTTGCAAAGATCGTATTCCAACCTAGAGCTAGCAACGTACAAAAGTACAAAATACACTTCGTCCGCGACGTGCTTTCAACGCGAGGAAAGTCGTGACGCGCGAACTACATACCCCCTCGTCCTTCGCCACTTTGTTTCTGTTTCGTTTTGGAACACGATCCGACAAGTAAATATTTCTCTACGCGAGCTTAGTAACTGTGATTTACATAAAAGCTCAGCTTAAGAGTACAGGCTTAACACGTACTTGTTTCATTTTTTTTCTTCGTTAACTTCGTCTCCTTTAGAAGCAATTAGACGTATTCAGTCTTTTTGCGATGCCCAAGGACTTTACTATCCCGTTGAGCAAATCGGTCGGAAATCGTACTTTAGAAGAAATGATTCTTTCAACGCCTTTCTCTATCTTTATCTAGCGCAAAGGTGAGGTGTTTCCAAGTTATTTGTGTAGAAAAATGCTTTAAAAAGGGATTAAAAGTGTATAAAAGCTCGCTAACCGGCGATCTCATGAAAAAGATGCTTCCAATGTGTTTTGCTTGATTCAATTAGTTTCTGGATTTGTTTTCACACATTCCTTATAGAGTATTCGGATGGCATCAGACTCCGCTGAATGTTACCAAGAGCTTTCTAATTAATCCAGTAGAATTATCGTTTTAATAATTCTCTGAACTCTTGATTGCATGTTTGCGAGGGAGTTCCTACGAATCATCATAATAACTAGTTTTTGAAAATCAGTTGCTGCTACTCTTGATAATCATTTGATGTCAGTTTGATATCTAAAGTGTCAGTATGAAACAATGCCAGGAACTGAATAAGACCATAGAGGTATTGAATGCACGCATGTCTACTTATGCATTATACAAAACTTTTGTTAGTTTATAATTTGTTTGGCACCCACTTTGTCCACTGCTTCGTTATTAAGTGAAAACGAATAATTAATATGCATAAGTTTCGCGAAGACTGCGTAATGAGCACCATGCAAGCTCATCAGTTGGAACGTTTTTGTTGTTTTCTGTTGACATTAATTGTTGTAATAAAATTCGTTACTAACCTTCCTCTGTATACCAAATATGTTTTTTTTTTGTGTAAAAAAAAAGTTTCTCCTATTATTCCATATAAAATCACTCGTATTCTCGATCTTATGAGCATTGTATGAAATTCTATGAAACATTACCAAGTACACAATCGAAGGCACAAGTTGCCAGTTAACAGAATACCTTGATGGTCTGCATTCCTTTAAGGAAGAGAGAAAGTTAAAAGTTTATACCTCTTTACTCATAGCCCCAGGAACAAGTGTCAAATAAAATCGCGATAATTCTAAATAAACAGCTTCCCACGTAAAGAATGGGCCATGGTATGTCACAGGTATGGCTTATGCTAATTCTAGTATAAATTTTTCTTCTTTGTAGATACTCGATAGAAGAATGGGTTCTACTTTGTCGGGCAAGTTATTTAAAACATTCACAGTGTATACTATAATTAAAATTGTTAACATTCCTCTATGTCTATCACGAATATATTCATAAGAGTCTAGTGAAGTGATTCGGTGCTTTTAAATTTTAAGCAAATAATTTGAATAATTACTGACAATAGGACTATTTTATTTGAAAACCTTGTTTAAATTAAAGAGACTCCGCTCATTTGTTTTCGAAGTATTAATTAAACTTTAAATATTGTTTGTAAAGAAATTAGTTAAATAAAAAGAACTAAATCTAAAAGTGGTGGAGTAATACTTGTTTATGCTTTTGTATTAGAAAGTAAATAATAATGTTTGCTGGTTGGAACGTCGTGCACCCACTTTGTATAACGTGTATCGTGTATATGAAAGCCTACGGTTATTACGATGTATGAGTAAGAAGGCATTGACTCATCGCTTCTTTTAGTCCTTTACGTAGGTTTTCATTTTCCTTTTAAAGCACCTGGTGCAAATAATAAGGAGACTCATTTTCGATTTATAACGCGAACGAAAAGTTTGATTCAATGCACCTCCTATTCCTTCATCATAAATGGAAACACGAATACGAAATAATCTACTCACTTCAAGAACTTCGACTTTCAAGGGAACCTAATGAAAAATCTTCAAAAGAATGTATACCGTCTAATATTCTACGTACTCATTGAGTAAATCACAATATAAAAATACAAATTGAAGATCTCCCCCTTCTTCTTTCATCATCGACCTTTCTATCTTTTCTTCGTTAGCATCTTTGTCGTAAAACAACATCCTTTACAAACGCACTTCCTTAGAATAAGTTACTTTTTCTTTCTGAACATTTCTTTGATAACTCATATCTCTGAATCTATTATTAATTATTTGTTACCGATAGTACGTTTTCGGACGACTATATAGATTCCTTCAATCGTATAATACCAAATGCTTCTCCCTGATTAATTCCTTTCTCACGACGACAAGCAATGACATGTGCAAATAATGTTAAATATCTCGTGGTGAAAGTAACTATTCTTGAACGTGCGAATCACCTAGTATCACTGACAGCTCAAAAGATTCTATGTACACGCGCGACATGGAAACAATTCAATCCTAACCACGCATGTACAAGTAGCCACAGATTGCTAGAATACCCCCACCAACAATTGCGGCACCTATGCCTATTGAAAGGGGCTTAAATAATGACCTCTTGAGCTTTTGCCATTCTTCTGTCTCCTTTTGTCGACGCTTGATTTCCCGTACGTATGCTGCCAAACGTTCCTTCTTTTCTTTATGACGTTGGCGTACTTCGTTTTTCCTATTAAAAACAAAACAAATACCATTAAAGAATGACAATTTTAAGGTACTTGAGACATAACCCCAATAACTTACACATCTGGACTGGACGGAGGACTACATGTTTGCAAAGAGTTTTCACCGTCGCTAGTAATTTCATTAGGCACTGAAATACTATCTGAACTATTTTCATGTAAATTATTTGCGATCGCTGTAGAGTTTGGTGGTGATGAACTTGTAGATGTTTCCGTTTGAGTCGGCGGCTCTCTGGGTAGCGGTTTATCAGGAGGTCCACCTAATTCATCTATCATTATATATGGAACAAGTTACTTACAGCTACACACTTTCTATTTATTATGGATTAATCGTTCTTACCGTTCTTTGTCGTTGCATTTGAAGTTAAGTCTGCCATCATACTACGTGTTAACGATTCACCTCTTGGAGGTGGCAAAGGAGGCGGTTCATCTTCTTCTTCAATCGAAGAATGACTAATATTATTAACTACATCATAATGATTTGTGACTATCTCATTATCAACATTCTGTAAAATTTAAATATATTAGTGAAAGTCAAAAAATATATTATATCACAGTAGTACAGTCTTATCAGATTTAATATGTTAAAGGTGTAACGTATTTTCCATAATATGTGTATAACATAGAAATCAATGGAAAAGAACTGCTGACTTGTTAAAAATTAAGTATTTGAAGAAACCAATAACACTGCACCACTGTGAATTGGTATTAGTTACCACGTTATTGGATGGCAATTGTTTTGCTCCTTCAATTATAGCAGCATAAGAAAATCTTAATTGATCTGGCGTTTGAATTAAACCCATTCTGGATCTTCTCATTTCGATCAACACATCTCTAACATTTACAGAATTCAATCCATTTTCTTCAATCTATAATCAGATGAAGAGCAACTCCTTTTTTCTAAGTTTTCATAAATATTTTATTTAATAATAGTAATACTTACCAAAACAAGACATGTATCAACTAAACAAAATGTTCCCGACCTTCCAATGCCCGCAGAACAATGTACAACTGGGGGTCCAACATTTTGATCTAATGCTCCTGATTGCCTAACATCTGCCAGAAAATGAAGAAAGGCTGTTGGACTTTGTGGTACACCAAAATCTGGCCAAGTAGTATAATGAAAGTGTAGTATTTCCCTACTTTCTTTTGATTCCAAATCTGTTAATCTATATGGAACATAAATAGTAAGCTTTTAGTAGTCTACATTACATACATAATTACAGATACTAAAATTGAATTACTAGGTTCTCATACTTTAATATTCTAGTTGTGTAATCCGATGATTCTGTTTTGCTGACATATTCTACTTTTATACCAACATCCAAAAACGTCATAGTATCATCCAATGAATCACCAAGTGGCCAATACTGATAACATTTAACTTGATTCTTTTCAATTATTTTATTTAACATTAACACTGCTTTAGAGGCTTGCTCCCATACCATCAACCAGAAGTGACCTGCAGTATTTTCTAATGGTCCTTGAGTAAGAATGTATTGTCTGTGGGCACGATCTACCTGTAATGATAATTCACTTGTCATTCCAGTCTTGTAAATTAAAATTATTTTCATATAATATTTACCTGTATAAGGTTGGCATTGATATAATCACTTGCCCCTCTTTTAAGAACAATTCTACTATGGTCATATGGAGCAACATCTCTATAACGGTTCAAATTTTTGTTTTGAGGTTTTTTAGATTCGTTGCATGTGTATGTGAAGTTGCTGCATTCATTACGAATATGCTGTACAAAAAAAAAATTTAATTTCTTCAATTGTCTTGGATAACTGTTCAACAAGATGCTTGAATATAAATAGAAACTTACACTCAACATTCACTAAACAAATAATGTGTACATTTTCAATGAGAAATGGATGTAGAAATTGTGTTCATTAACGGTAAAAGTTTGTTTCTTTACAAAATACAACATAAGAAAATTGAATACTGAATGAAGGCAATATTGTATCCATGTACATTGAGAAAACTCATTAAAAATTTCATTGCTGTTACTTATGTTTACAATATTAAATGTAATGCAATACTTTGCCATATTATATAATATATTATAATTTTCATATAAAATTGAGTAAAATAATACTTTCTATTAATTTCAGAAGGAAAAACATTTATCACGTAATTAGTACTTTGAAAAAATATCACTAATTAGTACAGTGTATTTCCTTAACATATAAAATTTTCTATTTTCCATATCCATGATTTTGATTGAATACTTTCTACTAGGACGAATACTCGGAATCCACACTTTAAACCACAACATTCATCCTTGACAATAGGTTCACACACACTCACACACGTACACATACACACATCCCACACACACAAAATACCGCGTTTAACATTTTTCCCTGAAAACCACGTTCCGCGAACACGGTACGATTTAAACCGATGATTTAAAACAATTCAGGCATTGTAACAAATACATCCAAGAAAGGGAGCGTGCGAGTGCGATAAAGAAATAAACACGCTCGCTGATTTCTGGCTCGTTATCTATCATATCGAATCGCATCGTCGTGTGGTAAATCAAATCCATTTGCAGAGCATAAATTAATCGAACACGCCGCCGGTCGAGGAACACGAAACGAATCTCGAGTACCCGCGAACATGCCACCAGCGGCAAATAAATTCGATCCCGATAAATAAACGTTTGACGCGCGTGTCGCGTATTGCTCTCATAGACATGAAATTCATTATCAAGAATCTGTCGGTACTCAACGAGGGACGTGCACCGTGCGTGCAAACGTTCACGATAGAAATTCAATTTGGCGACAGGAACGGCGAGACGACGAGCGGAGGCAAAGATTTCTTCATTGTACACGACAGGCTGACTGGCGAGCCGTGTCAGCGAAAAACAATTCGACGTAGTCGCGTGTTCGCGTGGAACAGGCTGACACATCAACGACAGGGACGGTCAGTTTCTTTCTCGCGGTGACCGGAAGGAAAGACGCAAAAAGCGGAAGAAAAAAGAAGAAAGGAAGGAAAGGAAAAAGAAAGGGAGGAAGGGACGGGACGAGACGGGACGGGTGGATGGACGATCCCTTTACCTGATAGAGGATCGGCCAGGCTGCCTTCGAGTTGATCTCCTGGTACTCGGTCTCTACGTTGCTGATCCCTTGATCGCGCGTCCCTTGGCTGGTCATTCTGTCGGCTCGTTCGCGACTCGGTCTCTCCGGTGCTCGAAAACGGCAAAACGAGACGAGGCACGCGAAGAGGCTGGGCCCCGGTCGCGCGCGATCTCGCTCTCTCTGTCTCCGGGAAAAAGGCGTCTCAGGCACGGAGCAGTGCCATGCGTGACGCGGATTCTCGCGAAGGGCAGCCCCCGCGGCACGAGAGACGAAAACGCGCAACCACCACAGATAGGCTCTCTCGGTACGCACGTACGTGTACACCTTCGTTCTTTGCCGTACACACTGCACCCACTCGCGCGAATAGTACCGAGCCACCACCGATTCCGTTCACCGCCGCTGCCACCGCGAAACACGAGTCAACGTGCTGACATCTTCGGGTAACCAGAGTTTCTTTCCCTCCCTTCTTTCTCTTTCTTCGTCTCCTTTACCGCCGAGTGAGATCTGGTCGACGATCGCCGCCATACTGTATAGGTGTTCGTGGACTATGCGCATGCGCGCACGCGAGCGCCAAATAAAATACTCTGATTTAAAGTGATCACCTTGATAATGAAATAATTTGCTTAATTATGGTTTTTTAATCGTATATTGATTCATATTGCGAAGCGAATGATACATTCTTTTAATTGTCTTGTTATTTTGTCCATAATGAAACGGTTTTAGGTTTTCTTTAGGTGTTTCAATTTTGGATCAATTTGATTAATAATTTTGTTGATACTTTATATTAATTAATCCCCAACTTGTCGTATGGTAAAAATAAAGTTAATTTTAAGGTATATGGAGGACAGTAGACACTTTTTTACTGTAATACTGAGAACTACATTGGAATGGTATTTATTTCTTACCTTACTAAAAAGGAATTACGAATAAATTATACGTTAATACAAAAATATATTAAAAAATTCAATAACCTAAATACTGAAATATTAAACCATCGAGGTAGTTGGTATTTGAGCTTATAGTTTTCTGTAGCAATACGAAAATTAATTTTTTGTAATTTTCGGTGGCTTTTTGATACTTTTTGGACTTTCGTTGCTGTGGTCATCATCGGTATTTGTACTTTTTCTCTTAGCTGATTCCACTGTCCCCTTCTTCAACCAAGAAGTCATAAAAGTGTTAGGGTTACTTTTTTTCTCTTCTCTGTGCATAATAGAATTAGTAAATCAATAGTCTGGTATGTCACTTCACAGGATTAACAGTTCATAATTCCAGAGAAACATTAATTGCATGGTGCTATAGAAATATATACGTACACAGGTTTTATCTCCTTCCTACAATTTTCACTTTTATTTGAAACATTGTTTACAAGAGTTGAGACAGGGTACCAGCTTAAATCACCCTCTGTCAATGTTAATTTGCTTAACATGTTAACTGCTTCAACTACAGAGAGGTCCTCATTTAGCCAAGTCTGAAACGATCCAGCAAAATACAGAAATGTTATAAATAATGTCTGTGCAAGAACACTGTTTATTTAAACATAATTTTTTTTAAAATACACATTCTGCTCATGATAACTAAATTCATTGCTTACATGTACGTCATCTTCTGTTTTTAAAAATACAGGCATACGATTGTGTATTGCTGAGAAGACATTATTAGATTCTGTTGTAACTATCGTACAACTATATATTACTTTACCCTGAAACATAATATTGTTAGCCCCTCTATATAAGAGCTTACAAAATAGGGATACTTGAAATGTAAAATGTACCTCTCCAGTTTTGAACTTGTTATATATTCCTGCCATTTTTAATACCTTAAAACCTTGCCAACCACTTTCTTCTGACCATTCATTCTTCCATGTTAAAGGATCATCTGCTTTAATTCCTTTTTTTTGAGCAGCACAAATGTAAAATGGTTGTTTAGATTCTTTCTTAGTTTTACCAGCTTTCCATTCATAGTAACCTTCGCAAACTATGATACATCTTTGTCCCTTACGAAGTGGTGGAGCATATAGTGTAGAACTTTTAAGATTCTCCAGGCGTGCATTATGCGTTGATAAAGAATGTTTCCTATAATCACCCTAAGAAATTTAAATATTAGAATTAAAATATGTGTTTCCATTATATATTAACTTTGCAAATCCGAATTTAGTAGTCATGTACCTAATATTTTATTATAATTTTATTTTATTTTTATCAATGTAAAATTTATTTAAATACAAAGGAATTCTTAAGGGATTAATAAGAGGCATAAAAATTCAGGTCATAAACGTATTGTTATCGCGTGGTGCGATACGATAAGCGTTCGTAGTGTTTACAATTCGCGAATGCTTTCTGTTGACGATTTAATTGTGACCACGTGAGCGTATCCCCACCAAAGATGAGTTTGGTCTAACCTTGTTTGTATACACTGACCTCGTGCCAGGGTGGTATCATACTCCACATCATAGCGCAAAGTACTCTCTCGTCATCTTGTCCGAAATGTGAGCCAGCGACGAGACAAGGTAAAACATCTTTAGGGCCAATATTGTATGACGGTACGTATTTGACGTCGCTTTTCGTCCAAGGCGTAGTACGTCGTTTGCCGGTGCCATCCTTGTAATCGCAAGCTCGGCTCACAGTGTCAGGATTCAAAGAACTATGAAATAATTTACGAGTATTCTTTAGAAGGTTTGCGTGTCATGAATTAATTACTAAAATTACGTGACATGATTACTCACCAAGCCGCTCGACCACACATGTTTCCGCGTCGTTATAAACACTTCGGTGAACTGGTGCCACCTACGATGCATTGCGTTCACTGCGAATTTGTAAAATATTAATTTTATATTATCGGATTACTATTTAATACATATTTATGTATATTTACTTGAACAACAATATTTTTGTAGTGAAACAGCAAATGTTAAGAAATGACATTTATAATTTGCGAATAGAAGCTTTGTATATTATATTAATATAAAATGAAATATTTATTTTTTAATAAATCTTTGTATATTCATATTTGAACTTGCGAGATGCGACGACATTATGTTTTTTACTGTTCACAATATTGAAAACGACTTTTTTGTCTATATAGTTTTTGTTGTATTGTCTCCTGTAGTACATACTTTAGATACATAAAGAATGTTTGGATGTACTGTCACTGGATACACTTGAATTTCGATTTTCGATTACTCGATTGTCTGCTTTTGAATAATTTATTTTCGACTTTCGATTATCGATTAATCGATTTTCCAGTTTATATGAAGGAAGTCACCGACGAAAAATAGGATGGACTAGACATCTTATGGGATTTCATGTCCGATGATCCGCAAAATTTAATGTTGAAGCAAGAAAATAAAGAACACGTTTTCTATTTATTTATTTGTATTTAATTGTACTCTGTTGGTAAGGTTGCAAGTGATGCGAAATGGTAAGATGGTCACATAATCCTGTCACGGCCGTGTCACAAAAATTTACATTAGTTGTCCAGTACAGACTTAAGATGTTTACAGACTGTAAGTAGGTACCACAGACGAGGTATAGGATAAACATAACATGCAATGTAAAATTTTGTCACACGCTCTCGGGGTTACAAGAATCCCTTATTATTTTTGTGTCACGCCCTGTCATATCGACTTAAGCGGGTTTTGCATGACAGCGCTATAAGTGATAGGAATTACAATAAAAAATATTGAACCACAGACTTACAACATGTACTAAACGTGGCAACTTATGGGATTTTTTGTGTAGCCCTTCGAGAGTCTCAAGACTTCTGTAGACGTAAACTGAAATTCCTATAAGCTGCAACGTTTGTATGTATCTTAAGTCTGTTATCCAGTCTATTCTATATCTCGTTGGTGATATTGTGTTGATATGCAGATTATCGAACGATGGTATTTCATTTACTAAAGACTCGATAGAGGTAGACAGTAGTTCATTAAACCGCTGAAAGTTTCTCATTATGTATGCTCGCATGTTTTTCAAATTTCTTTAGAACAAAATACTCATTGCGTATTTCATTTAGCAATCAGTGTAGTATTTATTAAAAAGAATGTATTTATCGTGTTAATAAATTTCACAAAAGGAAAAAGAGATCAAAACATGGCGAAATTAATTCTGAAAATTCTTGATTTAATCTTCTTAGAAACGGACAATTTACTGAATACAGGAACATGTATAGTTGACGATGATACTACACGAGTGTCCAATTTCGAAGCTCAGGAAGTTCAATTTCAAAATGTACATTTTTTGTAATAAAATGAATTTCAGTTAGCTCTTTAAAAAGAGATAAACATCCTTGTTTCACTTTTATACTTTAATGGACGCACAAGGAAAGTAAAATTCTCACAAACATAATCTCCCTTTTGTCCTCTATCACGATCTTAAAATTGCTTACTACTTTGGTGTTTAGCTCATTAGCGCCAAATAAGTTGAGTAAAATGTTTTAATGTGAGAAACAAGACCCATAAGTAGTAAATGCGCACAATGCGTTGTTCCGCTCTCTACAGATCTCCGTAAAGATTGGAATTCGTATGTAGGAATCGCCGCCATTAGTAGCCGAGGAAGTGTGCACGCTAGTAGATAAGAATACCTAAATTTGTAATCAAACGTTTTAATTGTTCTACGTGCGAGATACCATTGAAACAATTAAGCACGTAACATTAAAAATAAGTACTGATTTCAAAACAGTAGTAAAAATCTGATGCTACTATAATAATGTAGGTGGCTACATTTACTTAGAAAAGAAAAGGAAACTGTACCATATAGTGCAATACTGAATCAAAATAAACTCATTACTTAACTTGTATTTTACTGCATAATAAATTCCTAATTTGTTCTAACAAGATTCTATTTTTGCAAGGTCCTTCTTATTCTTTCAGATGACGTTTGTTACGATCTTTATAGATTCGAATCCAGCAGAGATTTGTTAGATTAACGTATAGGACATAGTCTACATATAATATATTGTAACCAAGGGTCATACCAGTGGCTTCTTGTAGTAACCGGTAAATACAATTTTCCCAACACGCGTGATAACGAATGTTATCGATTCCGTGCGTGTCGTGTTGTACCGTACCACCGAAGAGGAGTCGTGAAAAGAAACGTCCGACATTTCCTCGAGGTTCATTAGCGTGGCAAATTAGTGTCTACGGTTCAACGAGCGTTCCACGCCGGTATTCCATAGGTGGAACGGACCGAAGTGCGTTCGCCAGGCATTCACGATGCGTCTGTGCCGTGTATAGAAGGAATGCGCCCCTTCCTCGACCCGTATGCTCATTGTTCGACCATTGGGCGCGGTTCGATTCGTCTGCATTTTGTACCGATTCAATCGTTCGCGGAAACCTTCGACGTTGCTTTAATCTTCAAGAGGTATTATAAAGCTATTTCTGTAAACGCATGACATCAACTATGGCGAAATGGTACATGATGCTTTTCTATTTCAATTACGATACGCCAATATTTTGAAAGACTTTTAATCAGTTATCAATAATCAACGCTAAAAATATTTGTTTCACACAAGGGTAGTCATATTTCATACTGACATGACTGAATGCCAATAGATATACATGTAAAGTTTGTTTCATTCCTTACGTCACATTTAGCAAGCAAACTGTCATCTTCCTATATGTATTTCATTAATGATCAATAGTCAATCAATCCAGTCACGAAACAAGGAGCCATAAAGCATGTCTGTCACAGGTTCATTAAAAAGTCTACATTAACCTCCTCCAATTCGATTTACAATTACACTCATGGAATACCAGAAGAATTAGTTTCTCGTTCGAATAGGGAACTGAAATTGAAAGATAAAAAAAAAGAAACAGGAAGAGTGGAAACAACCAGGACGCTTAATTATTCTACTGTATCGTTGCTCCGGTTTTTCCCTTTATTCCAAGAGCATGCATGTGCGCGTGTGCATTTTTTTCCATCGCTGCTATTTCGAATCCACCGGGGACCATTAACGTTCCTGGGTACTTGTAGATAAAGCACGAAGGGCTGAAGGGATGCATTAACCCCCCGCCGTCGCATGTGAAGTCCTGTTTTATCTCTCCTGGATTCCTAAACGCTAACTCATCGCGTGTCTCATTGTAATGTTGATGTCACGTTTGGGAGCGGGGCATGCCAGCGCATTGATTCGCGGGACTTAGAAATTGAAAACCGGACTGCACGCGCGTAGCTGACCGCCATTTTGAATTTAACCAGCGTCATCGGTAAATACGAGCTTACTGTTCACACGATAAACGGGGAATGTGAGTTAACCTGTTATTTATGTTCGTCTATAAACAGACATTCTTTTTATATACATATTTATTTTCAACCAGTTCTCTAATGCAATTTTCGTTCGTTCCAGTTCATTTTAGCTTGCTCTAATCCAGATCGGGCTTCGAATATACATTGATATTTACAAGTACTTTTTATCTTGCGATTAAAATTGCACTGAAACTGGTATTATAAATTCATAGCGAGAGATAAAGCTGTTTTCTACCGTGCTTACTTGTGGATTCATGCGTAACGCTAGAAACATCCTTATGTGTATTCTGCGGAAGATCTTCAAGGATACGAGCAGCCTCGATTAGGGATACCGAGATAACGCTAATTAAGAACCGCTATGGTTCGTTTTTTACTAAACTACGGAATATTAATCAGACCAGAATATTCATTGGTAAAAGTTATCGGTTTAAGCGAGCATTCAAGGAACAAAAGTTCAAATGAGCGAAAGAATCATTAACGTCATACGTTTAGTTTTGCAGTATGATAAATCAGCAAAAGACGGTAACGAGATTATTTCTTCGTACGCTTCGCGCGTAAATTGACGTAATCGTCGAAGATCCGTGGAATTATCGGTTGAAGTGGAGTTGCGTTTATAGCGTCGTTGGCGAATGTTTTTTAGCTTAATTATGCACACATAACAAATCCTATTATCTATGGCTGCGATGCCGTAGGTTACGGTTGTTCTACGGAAAAATCCACGCGTTTCGCTCGTGTTACCTTTTTATAATATTTAATCAGTGTCATTATCACACTGTTAACATTTATGTACAATTGAAATGTCAAGTGACGTACTTATAAGCGATAAAGTTGTAAACAAATGCATCATTAATCTTTATTAAACGGTACATTTCATCGTGAAGGAACAAATTAGTTCATAACGTTTATTTTAATTGGTTTATAAAATCGTAGAAAAACGATTGATAGGTATAAGTGTTTTGTATTTACTGAGAAATACAAGATAGTTAGATCACTAAGAAAATTAAATCATCTGAGCTCAATAATGTTCGGACAAACAATCAAAGATTCTTCGACAGTGTATTATTTGCATCTGCAGTCTTTGTCACGTGATTCGGCGAAATTTAATCATGATGTTAAACTTTCCGTGTAATATGCAAAATGCCCGGGCACTTTTGTTTTGTTCGTCGCTGTATAAGCGTGTGCCGCAAACGCACAGGCGTATCACCGTATAAGGCTAAACAAAGGAGAAAAGGAAGAGCAAGACGCCCGACTACATTATCTACGCTGAAAATGAAATTATTTGCTTCCAACCGACGTTCTTTTGTGCTCTCGGCTTAGGCGATTTCGAGAGACCGGTTTCATTCTCAGGTATTCGCGAACCTGGCGGCGTTTCCCCCTCGGACGAACGTTAACAACGTGGATGGGAATAGACTCCGGGACGAACCGGGTGAGAAATTGTTTCAAACATCGAGTAAACTAAATATAGTGATTTCTGATGTCAATTTTGTAAATAATTTTCAATCATTACGATCTTACTTTAAGCAACAAATTCTAAACTTTAGTGTAATATCATGTGCCGCATTAGCAAAAAATTCCCAAGAAACAAAAAATAATAATAATAATTGAATGCATAGTATATAAGTATTTTAATCAATACAAACCGGATGTTTATAATCGTTTCATATAATCAATTAATTAATTCTTCCTACAAGTTTAATTATAATGTAGTACTCTGCCTATACGTAATTTTCATGAATGCATAAATTACATTATTTAGTAATTTTCGAATCAGCGCTCGTCTGGTTCACTTAATATTAAATTCGCTCATTTGAAATTATTTATGCGTTGGTCCGCATCGATCGTGCACGGTCCCCGTACGAAAGAAATGTAATTTGCGTCGAGCGCATCGTAGGTGGTGCGCCTCATTAACGGCGGAGGAAATGATTACTGGATGAATGAACCGCGCCGAGTGGGTGGTTGCGATTGCCACGAGGAACGGAAGGAGCGAAAGTGAAACACTCCACATTCTCCTATTGGTAGGAAGAGAAACAGAGATTTGTCAGCGCCGAGTAAAATATTAATCTTCTAATTGTAATATCTAGGCTACGGATCTGATTTATTGCGTCTTGATTGCAGTGCAGCATGAATACAGGATGTTCCATGTACTTACATGTTCACATCTATTAATTCATGTAAAAACAAAAATATAAGTATGCGAATATAAAAATGTAGGTGGATAATTATGTGAAGGTTTAGCAGTAAAACTCGGATACAATAAAAAATGACTGTTTCTACTGCTGAATTCATTTTCCCAGCAACAAATATTGAATTTCACAATGTATCACGTAAGTGTGCCAACGAGTAATTCTCCATGACTTCGGAATAGCATTTCAATCTTTCGTCCAATCAAAATGCCGCAGATTGTGGGATACAAACAATGGATCTCATTAAGAGAACGAAGGTGTTAGAATAATGTCAAAAGAAACAACTATTAATCACGCAAGTGTTTTACACAGTATACAACTGAAAATGAAAAACTCGGCGCTTCCCTGATGTGATTGATCTTGAATGTCGTTGTTTTTTCTTATTCCTAGATATCTTTGAAGTATCCGGTGGTCATATTCCGGCTTTTCTTTCCTTAGCGTCGGAGATAGAAATAATCTGTAATGTCAGAGAGGCACCATGATCATCGTTCAAACAGGAAACAAAAATCAGGTGGAAAAAGGACGTAATAAGCCGGCAAGAAATCGCTCAAGGTAAACGCCGCCGTGCTGACCGGTGGGCATGACCGATTCCCCTCTTTCTTTCACCCTTTTTCTCGCTATGACAACTTCCTTCATCGAGTCTCCTTCTGAAACACCGGATGACGTGAAAGTAAGGGGACAGTGGTGCTCAGACATGTAAAAATCGTTCGATCGCGAAAAGTTTAAAAGTTGGTGAAATGAAAATAAAATACATGCAACTGTACATTATCATTAACAGTATTCAACTTACACAGTTCTCAAGAATCTATTTTTCAAATTCTTTTTGTCAAGATAATGTGTAACAATAAAAGAATTCCACTAAGAATACTAACAATAATTGTAAACTCGAAGAAAAGCTTAAATTCTCTGTTTCAGAAATCCAAGAACTCAATACCATGTAACGTCATTGACGAAAAAACCATTTGTCATGCGTACTTTTTCCAACATTCAACAAGAGAGAGTTGCGTCCGAAGAACAACTATAAGATTATTCAAATTTCGTTTATTCCATACGCGGCTGTCTCGCTTGTGCGCGGAGCACCGACACTTTTTTCCCATTTCCCGCGAACATTAAGCAGGAATAAATTAAAGTCCAGTCGTTTCCGTCGCCCAGCGGTGGCCTAGTAAACAATACGCCCGGGTCGAGTCGAAAAATGAGCCTGGAATGATCGGTTGGCTCGTTTCGCAGAAGCATTCCTCGCGTGCCCAGTCACCTGCGGCCAGGACACGTCGAGTCGTGGTGGCCCTCTGACACCTGGTGCCACGACTTTGGTGAACACTTTGGTGGGGTCTACCGGGAGTCTCTAGAGACGCGCGAAACCGGAGACCTCAGTTGTCACCGCGACACCAGCGGAGCAACGTTGCGTTGTTTATTCTTCTGCAAATCGCTCGTAGGAGATCCGCGTCAGTAGTCGTGAACGTTTCCTTTGAAACTCTACGAAATATTCAACAATCCACTAAAAATCAAAGATTTCATTTATCGTCATACCAAAAATGTAGTGTTTGTTCATCTATGAAGATAATAATCGTTGAAGATCGTCGAACACATCTATGTTGATGAGTTCATTAATGGAATCTTGGAAGTCCAAAAATCATCGGAGTTCGTCTGCCATCGTGGCACTGCATCAACAACAGTTTACTTTAAGTTACCAGTACTTTCTTTGATGATCTTTGTGCAAGAATTTTGAACGAATTTCAAGATACAAAGAATATTAACGAGATTTTTGAAACTGGTTTTTAATTTGTTATTAGTGGTGGTATTTGTTGATTGGGATTTAAATATAGTCTTCGGTTCTATACTGGACTTATTTTGAAGAAGTTAATCGAACAGCAACTTCGATCGATTTTCACTGCATCCGCCGTGGTAGCCGGCTCCGTTCCACGTGTCTGTTTCCAATTAACATTTATGGACGATTAATTTCTAGTTTTCTGGGTAACGAATGCTCAGCAATAATTCGATTACGGGGAACAGATCGAGTCGGTAATTGTTTCTTGCGTTTCTGTTTCGTGGAAGAGCCACGAAGAGTTTGAAGATCCCTCGAAAGAGTTACGTGCTCAGTGAGTTCGTTTCAGTATTTTCACTTGAACCGTCGACTACTTGCGTGACCTCGATAACTTCGTGGGAATCGATCAAGCTGGTGATATCTTGCGCGTCGACGGATCTCTCCGTCGTCGATTATCATCGAAGGTCCTACAGGTATTCACGTTTCATTTCGTTCTAATTTTAACGGAGACTGTTTGTTTGACTGTTTCGAGCAGATCGTTTAGTATGTCGAGCAGCATTTATCAGATACAAACATTTTTCACACACACGTTAAGCCGGCTGCGGTACAGTGTCATCAAAAATACATTTAGCTTGTGTGCTAATGCTGACACGTTGTTGCGTTTAGTTAGTAGGCGATTAACTCCGTGCGTCTCGTTTCAAAACAATATTCGCGTTTCTTAACTAAACTGCTTTGTAAACTAAAAAATAGTATTATTAGATAAAAATTTTACTACATTAAAATTTGACGAGTAATTCTGAATGAAATGGAAATTTTTTGTTTAGAACGACTAAACGAATGCTTTCGTTTACTTACATTAATTTTTTCGGTTTAATATTTGATTAAATTGTGAAATATAATTTGTTGCATTGATTATGGAACATAAAAAATATGAACTAAATCCGATCAATCGCGACGAATAAAACGTCAAGTCATCTGGGTGTAAAGGAACGACATATTCTTTTGATTGGTTGTCAGGGTCGTTCAAAGGGGCCCCGTCCGTAGCTGATTTCGAATGAAAGGCATGAATGGATTTGACGAATCTCATAATAAGCTTCTGACCACGGCTGTACCGCTCCTAGACGTTCGATAACGTTCTCGCTCTCGCGCGATCGTGAACCCTGGGAACGCATTGTAACTGGAGAATTTAATTAGAACAACCGCAGGTCGCGCGTGCCGAACCTTACTCATGGCGGACAATGAGAACTGCTATGAAGTGTCCGGAATGCTTTGAATTATTTGCCCACGTTTCCGCATTTTGCTTGTGCGAGCCGTATAAAGTCGACGAATTACGTGAGAAACGTGAAACATTAAAAGAACGTTTCTTCTGTTTGTGTTTACAATGAAAAATAGTGAATTGAATGCTAGCAAATCGATACAACAAGAACAATAATAATAATTCAGGAATTTATCAGAAAGTATGATACCATCAAGGTAAACGTTCTAGAGTGAATTAAGTGCTGGTTACCTCCTTGCGAAATGGGACAAATAAAATAAATCATAGTAGAAAGATAATTATAAAAAAAATCATACTTTATTGAAAAATTATTAGTGCCATTGCAAGTAAAATAAAACGAAATAAGTGGCAGACGTAACGGTACCAAACGATAATCGCATGATCGAACCGTTTCGTTCGTTTTATTAAAAATGGATTGGAGAATGTTTGAACCGCTTATTTTCTAATGTTTTTATCGCAATACGTTTCACGGTCTGATTGTGATTTATTGTGACAGGATGTAAATAATTACAGTCTTTTCTTTTTCGCTGATTAAAAATGCAAATTTCGATATTGCTTCGATCGTATCGTTCCATTCGAGTCGCGAAGTATGTCTACACACGTAGCAATTATATGAGCGACCCGTTGAATTTCTATGAGCGCTGTTGCTAAATCAAATTCGCGTTACTGCACGCGATAGAATATTCTTTAACAGGATCTCCGAATCCATTTTTTATGACGATACATATTATAATTGAGTAATGCGATTTTAATTAGCACGCGTCGGCGCGTGGCCATCTTTGCGTTCGCTAAAATGGCGGACACCGCTTTCTTCAAAGATTTCACACTATATAAACATTTCCAATTATAATATTATACAATTTACGTACTAAGTATTCGAAAGAACCCATTTATACTCTAAAAAAGTCCATGTATTCAAATAAACCGGTTTACCATCGGCAGCCATCTTATTTATAATCAACAAAATGTCAGACTCCGCCCTTTTGAGTAAAAATTATAAATATACAAGCTTATACATTAATAAATCTTCTACTTCCCAACACAAAACAGTTTACTATTACTAAATAACGATTAAACAACAAAAGCATTAATAAAATTAAAGATGTGGAATAAATTAACATTTAAAGGAACGATACTTTTTCCAAATTTTCTCGTGATTACACAGTCTATTAACCATTTCGTTCCAAAGGTGATACAGTAAATAACGATTATCGACAAGAATATAGCACGAACGAGATGTCCGCGTGTTAATAGGATTATGGTTTTTAACGAAATGGACGCATAAACAGTTCGGCCCGATAAAAATGAAACTAATAAAACGGTTCGGTGATCTGGTGCAGTCGGCCCGCCCCTTCACGTATGTTAATGCAATTACGTTACGGGGGCTAACAAGTTGCCCCACTTGTTTAACGTAACGACGCGTACGATCGCAATTCGAGCCTATATCACCGATTATCGTTGCACAAAATCGATTGCGTGCTTTCTGCCGCGTCTCGAGTATGTACAAACAGGTTTATTTAACAATTGACGCGGTACGCCTGTGATGCCGTAAACGGAACTCGCGCCCTTTTGCGCATTCATCAACAACCGGGCAGCAATTAATTTGTTATTGTTTCGTGGTCACGAGCGTTTTTCCGGTGGTTCGTAACTATGCTGGTTCATCCCGGTATTTTACGATGAAAAATGGTGTATTTCTTTTCGGTTGATTATGTAACTTTATGAATTTCTGGTCAGTCTCATAGTTGGCAAGTCTTGGTCTTGGCAAACACGATTTGGAGTAACCGAATGAAAACAGTTCGTTCCGTGCCTCGTGACCGAGCAAATGATGTGCCACGTCAACACCAGTTTCTGCATAATTTGTAATGAATGTCATTATTGTGATAAATAATTTCTAGAATTTACTAAAACGTGTGAGCGATACGTTTGGGAAGAAGTGATACGAAGTTACTGTGAAATGACAAGTAAACAATAATAAATTAAATTACTTGTAACATGGAACATTGTAAAAGGTGTACTTTTTCATGTTAACTATAGTTTCTACTTGCAAGAAAGTTACATGTTTACTGTTGTATCTTATCTTTCTTTTACGCGCCAGTACGTGCAGACAACGTTGCAATAATTGCATGTTTAACATTAACATTACGCGAGTGGTAGACGAATAAGTGAAAACAACGATAGTGTCTTCGCTCAAGTCTAGCCTCATTCTTAGTTCTTTTGTTTTGAGGTGAACCAACTAATGTGAAATTCACAGCTGAGTTTTCCAAGATTTGTACTTTTGCATTTCATCGAAATTTCATAGTTTACGATCCTATATTAAACAATATTTATGTTGCTATATTTTCATTCGTCCTACAGTAAACGTAAGTAAAAGTAAACTGGAATTAAAAATTACATTATTGTGTAACTACACGAACCGTCTTCAAAGTCTCTGCTCGTGCATGTAAATAGACGCGTTACAAGTTTCTTTATAAATAACTGATGCACAATGTCGCCAAAAAAGAATAGTGCAGACCAAAAATGCAAATAGAAGGCCCTAACATAACTGTTACGGTAATTAAAGAAAGATAGCGCAACGGTTCGCGAGCTAACCGGAACATTTCCATGAAACCGTTGAATGGATAAGTGTGCAAACCAATTACCTAGAATATTCAAATGTACATTACTTTTTATAGGGTAATTTTCAAATGTCTTTGATTTATTCCATCGTCCTTAATAATTCGCTAGTAAAAAAGATTCGTCATATATTCATAATTTAAACGCAAAATGTCATTTTCTTTCTATCATCGTGAACCATAGAATCATTTATTAAAATCAATTAAAAATTTTGTGTGATTCCGCCTGGCGCCATATTATAAAGTATATACCAGAGGAACGATTTCAGTGAAAGTTATCTAGTGAGATTTTTTCTTGTAACGTCAGAGTGGGTAATACATTACGGACCTGTTATGTCACGGGATTTTTTTATCGATCGATCAGAGTAGCAAGACTGTACGTATTTACATACGTATGTACGTCGATCTCATTTTTCTGCGGACGTTGCGTTCGCCGGCTATGAGCGAGGCTTTACTTTCACGACGCGGGATCCGATGTTAATACCCCCGGCGGTGTTGCGCAACACGGCACGCAAACGTAATGAAACCGTGGCGCGTCGTGGCTCTAAACACAATGATGGTGACCTACCTATGGTCGGGACGGTGTTCGGGTTACGGCTGGAAATAAGTCATTTCTCTATTAAGCCTCTTTATGCGGCGCTCACAGTCATGTCACCATGACAGAGGGTTTACTGAACTCTCCGCGTCGTATTTGCAAAATTCTAATTACAATTGTCCCGAAATCGAAATGAAACGCAGGGATGAATCGTTGGACTAATGCTTCTCAGTGGTTCTTTCCCCTACAACTACCGACCCGGAATGACAGCTATTACACTCTTTTGTTTTTTATTAATACTAGAACTACCGAGCATTTACTGAGATTGATATGTAATCCTTATAAAGACTGTAACAATTTCGATTTTTTCGATTTCTTCAGATATTCGTTATGATATTTAAGTGAAATTATTTATTTTCAAGATCACTTTGGATAGAGAATACTTTTCCGACATCAATAATTGCAAAATAAGAGAATTAAGACTCGTCATTTTGACGGGTACGGTAGTTTTAGTGTTGATAGTGACAGTGATTTATAACTGTTTAAAAAGAAAACATTTATATTATTTATCATGGTTATTCACGTTTTAATTTACGCGTGTCAAAGTAAAAATTGATATTCGCTAAAAATTGACTAATTCGTGTGTTTTCGAAACCCTGTTAGTTTAATACGCTAATTACTGTCGTTTCCAGCATTAATGTTTAACGTACCAGCGCTAACGACTTGTAATGACCGCTCGGTAATTTCTTGTAAGAGTTAAGGGGCCGCATTCCCTTGGGCTTTGCGTAACCTGCACCATTGACATTTAATCATCGGCGTGATTTTTATGCGCGCGCTTGATTTTACGCGAAATCGTTACGATCCAGAGCGTATGTTTACGATTATGGAAATACGCTTGAACGAAACGAAAGGCGGAAGTATTATCTGCGTTGTAAAGCAGAATGCACGGTCTCCATGAGAATTCACGGGCAAGCGTTATCGAATAGCATCCTGTTGATAAAAAAGTTAACCGTGTTACCGGATAAATTAATATACCGCGACACATTAGTCACTTCCGCCTTGGTTTCGCTCCTTTTTCCCGTGTTTACATTCGCTGAATTGCTTTCATCGTTACGAATTCAAGAGCGCCGCGCCAACTGACAATACTTTCTACGAGCCAGGAACTCGTAAAAGCGAACTCGATTCCCCGAGTAACTTCCTGTCCGCGCGTTCAGTTCGTTTTCCGCTCGCTTTCTGAAATTATTGCGAAACGTGACTCTGCATACCAGATATAGGTAGCTGAAGCAGCGAATTCGGGTTTGTACGCAGCAGGTACCTATTGAGGTAGTATTGGAGAATGTGAATGCTAGACATTCAATTAGCGATAGCTGAGTCCATGTCGATCCGATTTTTAGGAACTTCTATTAGAAAAGAGTTTACAGGATAAAACACTTTGTAGTCAGAATAATTAACTCTCAAATAGGCCAAATTTTTGTTCGTAACTATAAAAAAACGTATGTAGTATAAAATAAACAGATATCAACCTGTAAAAAGAAATTAACAATATATTCAATAATTGTATTAAATATATAATAATTGTATTAAAACGAATATGCCTTGTAATTTTGAAATTCCAATAATGTTGAACTTTCATTCCTGAGAGTATAGAAGATTAAGTTAATTAATTATTTAATTTTACTCGCCACGTTGCTATGCAAAATGAAATAAATAAACAAGAAGCCAATATATTGACGTATGACTGCAAAGTTACATGGCTCTATGGAGGGTTAAATTAAAAATCAAAATTATCTTTTGTCTTCTGCACCATATAAATTCTAGTTTCGTATAATACATCACTGCTGCGTTATACTACTTTCTCAAACAATTCTAGACACATTTCTTCTACATCAACTCCACGATATATCAAAATAAGCATAAACCCCTAATTTCAAACTTCGAACACATCAATCTTAATTTCCCTCGAAATGATCGATGCACCACCAATACAGCAACAGCTATAATTGATTACCACTATTTTCTTAAAAAATTCAAAACCCGACGCGTTTCCCTTATCCGCACCCCATAACCACATCAAATCAACTGAAGAGCTCCGTCAGAAACCTGGAATCGCCACCCTAAACACTGTCAATTTCGTGCGAAATTGTGTAATCGGTACAAATCGGTTTCATCGGAAAACGATGCGCGTACTCCCACGTTGACGATTCCGCTGTATTTTTCAGTGGTTTACGGGGTGACGGATGACGTCGGCACGTGACTCGCCACGTGGACGGGACACCGGAGAAATCGAGGAACAAGGATCCACACGAGTGTTTCCTTGCTCTCAGAGTGACGGAGAATCCGACGCGTGACTTACGACACGTCGCTAGAGATTAACAGGAAATTTCCCCGCCGTCACGAAGTCACGCACGTTTCGGGGAGTGCGGGGTGGTCCGTGAGTCACCGGGGCCCGCGAGAAGTTCGCAGGTGTGCTTCCGGGAAGTTGAAGATTTGCGATCGAAGAGCAACCGTAGTTTCTCTGGCAGTCGCGAGACGAAATCTTGATACGAGCTGACGCGGGAAACCAGGTACATAAGTATGAGCACTGAGAAAGCTTGGCTACCATTCTTATACGGGGTGTCTCATTTCAAACTTTCAGGTTTGGTGGGGAGACATACTGACAATGAATCTGGTTAAGATGGCTCCCTGGGAAAAACGAGAAAAATATATGAAATAGGAGTTTTTCCTTTGTAACTTGTTTTTCTAGGAAATTGCGATTGGAAAGTTACAGGTGTTTGAAATTTTGTGTTGATTTTGGATGAGTTGTTTAAGGACATTGCGAGGTTATTGAATGTAAATGTTATCTGATGATCTTGGTGTTCTGTACCGTTCGTTGAAAGTTGTGTTTGTTTTGGAGAAATTGAAACGGGACACTCTGTACGTGTAGAAATGTAGCTGACGATTCAGGAAGAAATTGCTTTGGTGTGGTTTTGAAGCTATTTATTTGGTAGATTAGATACTTCGAAATGTAATGATTTAAATGATTTAAATAATTCCAATAAATGAAACATGAGAATGAATCTCGAAATATAAATAAAAAATCAAATAATGATGAAATGAATTAGTTGCAGCGATAAATGACTAATTAAGAATGTATCTAAGACTAAATACCTGTACTATGATTTCAATAGAATGATACAAGGGTTAACGTATTGTAAAATATTTTTAAAAAATGAAAAAAATTCAATGTTGACAGATAGATGACGACCTTGACTTAAACGCAAAAAGTATTTGTCCGCGGTCACCTCGCGACACCGCGATCGCCGGAAGTGGAGAAGAAGGAAGAAACGCAGGATGCCGGGAGAGGTGCGCGCGCAGCCCTTAAGCACGACGATGTACGGTGGTAGCACGATGCAACCGGAGGAGGAGATTCAGTACGCGCCAAGGAGCCGTCCTGTTAGCTTTTATGACAATTTTAAGGTGAACGCTTATTACTACGTGCCACGTGTTACTGTTTACGTTCGTGTCTTGTCAATAAGTCGGCGTTGCGAACCGATCACGTGTTGGAACAGCGTGCCAATATACGCTCCTTGGAGGTACGATTAACTAGAACAAGGTTTCTTCGATTTCTATATAATAATTCATTTGTAGTATTACTTACAATAATTACGATTATAAATTAAAAACATTTTTATCATTAATAATAAACTGAAGATATTTTTATCTTTGTCCAATTTCTTACGCATTGATTAATTTCTTGATTAATTTCGTATTAATTACGTATTCATTTCGTATTCTTCCCTGATACAGTGTACTGGATATTTTTTACCTCGAGACAATAGCCCAATGTCAATATGATAATTTCTTTCCATATTTATAAATTGTAATTGTTAAAATTGCAAATTGAAAGTATTTTGGTCATTCTTGAATATACTACATGGCTGTGCAAGAAGTTCGTCCTTGCATTGTTCGAATAGTGACCGTGATCGTTACGTGTGACTATATAAATCGGTGTTCAAACGAAAGTGCTTCGTTAAAATTTCTTTTTGTTCCTGTATAGATATGCAGTGAAACAAGTTGCATAAAATTGTGTCGGCCCTGTAATGGCTACGATATTAATTGCTTCATAAATTTCGAGAGCTTAAGAAAGCGTAGTGAACATACAGCGTAAGAAAGTGTATCTACTCTTGATTAAATTTTTATAGAATATTATAAGAATCAGCACAGTGAATCTATTATATTGCAATAATAAGTGAAATAAATTATTGAAACTAATATATGAAATATAATAATTGAAAATATATCAAATAAATTATTTTTCAAGGCAACGAAATCTTTTAACGCATATTCCTTGTTGACGTTACGATGTTATAAAATCAACTGTTTACAGCTAATTTATAACAATACTATATAATAGCGTAACATACTACGTAACAATACTATGTGATCCTTTTAAAGCCATGGATGCGTTTTTCTGTGCCTCTGTGCAGGACGTGCCGATGGTGGCACCTTGCGTGACATCCGCTCTGAGCGCCGACAATTTGAATCAGGTTCGTGACAACAATATCGACACGTCGATGGCTGCAACCAACAACAACAATAACAATAACAACAGAGTCAGCAGCGCGGTTAGTGCTGGCAATGTCTCGAAAATCCATAGCGTGAAAGTGACAGGTAATACTTTTTTCATACACTCTTTAAAAATATCAAAATATTTTTCATCTAAAATAAAAACCTTGTTTTAAGTTAGTCTATTGTTTATTATACCATTTTAGATTACAAACCACTCCCCGTTCCTTGACTTCATTTCCAACGCGACATCATTTAAAATCAACGTTCACAAGTTTATTTTTGATACAGAACAATTTTTATGGAAATACATAAATTCATTTTTGATAGAAGATGATTTAAAGGTAATATCTTATTTTTCTTTAAATCGGCTGGTTCCATTGATCAAATGAAAACAGTATCATTGCCAGCGCGGGACAAAATTGGAGGTGGCACTGTACTATCCTAGGAAAGTTGTCTGGCTGAAAATAGAACGGTCGCGAGTGAAATTCGGTCGTCGTTGTACCAGAGTTAGAGGCGTTCTAGCGGACTTTCTCGAATTTCATTTTGTTTGTGGGCACCCTGTTCAATTCCCGCGAATATCTCTGCACGCAGAAAATTTCGCGCGCTTTCTAAGCATGGCATACCATCGCTCAAACTTAACACCATCGTTCAATCAATTCTTACATTAGTTTCTTTACTTTAGAATATTTTTACTAACAAATAATCCTTAAGCGATAACATAATAACATAACATAATAATAAAATAACATAACAATTGAATAATATATTTTGAATAATCTTCACTAATAAACAATTCACTATTTTCCTTCCAAATATTCCCAATATTATAATACTTTCAACTATTTTGAAATGAATCTTTTTTCAAAGGTATATGAAATAGTTACTCAAAAATATAGGAAAAGAATATTATAAAACTCAAAATGAGATAAACTTCACTCTACTACAAGGTTAGAAACTGTAAAATCCATTTCATTGCCAGCCAATAACTGAAATCAACCAGCTTCTATTGTTGTCTGTTATTAGTAGCGATTTTACCAGCGAATTCTATTAATGACAATCGTTCAACTGTTCTTTGGTGAACAGGTGCGGTGTCGACGGGAAACATTGGCAGGATTTATCGGCCAGAGAAGGACAAAGAGCTCGGTCGGGCGCCGTCGATGGCCAATTGTCTGTCAACCACGGTTCCCGTGAATTTGGCAGCTTCGCAGATTGCCGGCCGGCATACACCGACGAGGAATTCCCTCAGGCACAGCAGGATGATCGTGTTGCATCGGAGCGGTCAGCGTGAGTAAATGCATTTCTTTTATTCCCGCGTTCATTGCGCGTGCGGTGGTGGACAAAAGTATTTCGTATGCTTCTTACGCTATGTACAGGGTGTCAAGAAAGAAAAGATCTGAGAATTTTTCAAATTTTAGAGCGTAATATTATAATAATAAGAGTAATAGTATTGTTATATAGTTAATTATTATTAATATTATACTAGAATCATTTTAATACGGTATTAATATCAACAATAATAATACTGTTGTATATAAATAATATTAGTTCGATCGTTAAATTAAGAAATGTCAAAAATAAAATTTGAAAATTGTGTAATGCACGATTGACTGTAAATTTTTGTTAAAACACGAATTTTAACATTTTCGTTGTTATAATATATTAAATAAGTAATTATATTATATTATATTATATTGAACATAGATATTTAGAATTAATTGTTGAATAATATAGAAGTATTTAATGGCGATGGTATTGATTGGTAATCGAATCATTGCGACACGGGTATCTCAAGTTTCTTACGACAGATCTTATAATCAGCATTGTAAGCTATTTCGTTGACCAACTTCAGGTAAACGAAAGACCCTGGATTAACCCGAACCAAGAAACTTTTATTGACAGCATTAGAACTGGATTATGTACTCCAAAAACTGTTCTCCGAAAGTTTCTGTGAAGGTTTCTCCGAACTGCTGTCTGGTTTCCATGCCGAGAAAGCAAACTTCCTTACTTTAACGAGCTTCCTGTCTGCAAACTACGTTTCAACGTAAAAAGAACTCGTATGTAAAAGAATGCTTAAAAAATTCTTTTCACAAATTACGAAAAGAAAATTAATATTATTGTAGCTTACATAGTATTATGCTCATGGTTTTACCAATTCTCTAGTCAGTCGTGCAAACTACAACTGCGTATAATTCCAAACATTCATTTGCATTTCAATTCATTTAAGAAAATGTATATTACTACTCTTAGATGATAGTGTGGCACGTGTCTTGATAAACAGTTCACTATTTAGTTACGTAAATGTGACATTTATTTCATTGAAACCGATGTAACTCGGTATCAAAGCGACGAGTAATAACCGAAAAAGAAACATAAAGTCGAAAGTGATTAACACCCTAGTTCCATTTGCAGTGATTCACCAATCGTCTCGGTCGCTTGTACAACCACGACCGGACAAGTTTCTCGAACTGGAAATGACTTTGAAAAAACATTGTTTATCCGCGCGGCGTCCGATTCCACTGCGATCGTGGAATTTCTTTTTATTTTTTTGTCTCTTCGCGTTGGGTAATGCGGACGCAACGCTTGTTGATTAACGAAATCAGAGATCGGAACGGTGTACGTCACCGAAGCTCGAATGTCACAGCGCGGCCTTTCACGGTGCAATAAACATTCGCGAGAACAGGAAAACGGATTGCCACCGAGTCAGGGCATTAATAATTCATCGTCGACGAATGACTATGCGAACAGTTTTGTTCGGAGCGAATATTTTTTTCTTCTCTGTTTCCATGGAATTCAATAACATAACTTCGATCGGAAAGATTCCGATTCGAGGAGCGCGTTTCGAAATCGAATTTCAACGAGGCACGTTCTCGCGCGTTCCTGCTTTCTTGATCTCTTTGAGTATTTTGTTTTTTCTCTGATCGTTTCCAAATACGGAACCGACTGTAATCATTTGAATAATTTTTAACTTGAAAAAATGGAAGGTTGCACAAGAAAAATATAATCCTTTCGTGTGACAAATTTGTAGGCTAAACAATTCTTTGATTCTTGTTTAACTAACATATAAATGTCTAACATACAAGGAAACACGTATTAATAAAAATTAATAGTATTATTTTTTAAAAGTCTGAAATACAAGGCAACGCAATATCAATGAATAGTAATAGTATTATTTTTCTATTTTTAGTAGTATATAGAAAATTTTTTGCTCTGTGAAAGCAATTTTTTCTGCATCCTAATACCAATAAAATTAGAAATTCCTGAAACATTCGGAATTCATTGCTATCTTCTGTTGGTACCTCATTGTTATAATCCTTTTCACGTGTTCTCCTTGCAAGGAAGCAGTTTTTTATCATCCTAATTTATCTCGTAAAAGTTAGATAAGAAATTACGTCCATAAAAAATAACTAGCTTGTACATGCCATTCAAATGCGAGATAAACCGTAAAATCTCTCTTGTTAAAAGAGAAATGATTGTGCATTTAATAACATTATGCAAAATACACTTTGTACGTCGAACGAAGTTTTGATCGTTTAAATAGTTCGGCCGAAATTGATCGATCAAACCGATAGCTGGAAACGTTGACTTTCTCTCCAAGGACAGACTAAAAGTGCATCGGTGGCAGGTGTCCGCGGCGAGTAATCAGAGTTCGTCGGAATGCCGCCGGCCCAGAACGGGTCAATTTTTCTCGAGTTCTGCTCAATGATCGCGTCGCCATTACTTCGCTGCGTCGCGTCGGCGATGCTCCGTTTCGCGGTTTCACAGTGCGACCGCGGCGACAAAGCTTGACACCGTTTCACGATAAAACGGTGACATCGGATTTATTGGAAGTCGAGAGAAATCTTGTGTTTTCCTTAATCCCTTCGAGAACAGTTTCGCAGAAGCGTACACGTAATTCTAATTTCTACATTGACGTTTGGTTAGTTCCATTTTGGTCGTATGGTTTTTCGTTACCTTCATTCTTTCTTATCTGGCTTAATTTGTTTAATTACTTGGGTTGGAAGTAACTGGACAATTACTACTTATTTTACCAATTATTGGTGTAACAAATATAATTTATAAATAGCCAATTAAATATATAATTAAAAGTAACGAAGCATGTAAATGAAATTGGGGATAAAGTCGATTTTTTAAACGATATACTTCCGTGAAACACATTGTATTCGTTGCGATGATTCAAACGAGGCTTGATCGTAAGTTACTACAACATGTTGATGACTAAATGCGAAGAAATGAGCAACGGATACACTGATGCATCTGAATCATGATAAATGTAAGGAAATCCTGTAATAAACTGGAATTTCAATGTCATTAATAATTAGTTGCGAGTATAGCAATGCAAGTATAGCAATGAAACATTAATGACATTAACACTAAAACTACCGTATCAGTCAAAATGATTGGTTTCGGTTTTCTTGTTTCGCAATTCTTGATATCTTAAAACAATTGAATATTCGAAATGATTTTGAAAATAAATAGTTTCAGCTGAATTCTATATAACAAGTATCTAAAGAAACTGAAAATAATCTATTGTTACACATTTTTATAGGGATTACATATTAATTATTTTAAATGCTCGGTAGCTCCAGCGTTAATGACAGTGAATAATATCTTGAATAATGAACACTACGTTACCAATATTCAATTCTTTTAGCTGATTAAAAATGTACCTGGAGAATTTATTTCCACAAACCTGCTAGATCTACGTTTAAAATCGTCTCACAGAAGCCAGGTACTCATAGCTGCAAGAGTTGCATGCTTCTTGGTTGGCTGGTCACCGTTCTCGCTTTAAAGTGGTTATACATGGTTCTCTCTGAACACCGGAAGTAACAAACCGGAAATATATCGTGTGAGCTTTTTCGACCACGATTCTTTCGAATCCACTTTTCAACAAGATTCTAATTAATTGAAATTATTTCATTTTCGGTTAACCGAAAGTTTTGGTTATTAAAATTAATCGAATATCGCGAGAAATATTTTTTCAATGAAAATGTCCGGGTGCATTCTACATAACCGAAAATGAATAGTAAAAAGCGACATAGCAGAAAAGAAAATTATACATAATCACTTCTTTCAATAAGCAGATTTCTCGTCAATTAAAATGAAGTATTTTCGCTTGTTTAGACATTTTAATTTTTCGCTGATTTTTTAATACTGATAGTCGAGAAAAATGCGAAATTCCGAAATAACTATTATGATTCTCGTGTAATTACAGTGAGTAACAAGTTTATGTAACTAATTATTACACTGGAATCATGTTCGCTTTCAAAAGGTAGCAGCGTTGTAAACAGCATCGTCACGCCAATTTCGCGAGAAGTTTCTCGTTTTGCCTTGGAACACGAAGCGTAATTTTTTATTTAAATTCTGACGTATCAGCTTTCACAGAAGAAATCAAATATAAATTTTGAAAAATACCATATAGTATCAATTTTAAAATACTGCAGATTCAATTCAAAATTATTAACCTTTCAAGTAAAACATTTCACTTAAATCCAACACTTCAAACTTTCACATTGAATTTCAATTTCGAATTAAAAAAATGTTAACATATCCTAGAAACATATTTAAAATTTTTTAGTAACGCACAAGGTAGACTTTAGAAGTCTAAAATTTAATTCTGTTTCTAGTTCTTCCTGTTCAGATCTTCTAAATTGTTATAAATAATTCATGAAACGTTGTAACTCATAAAAGCAGCACGGTTTTGTAATTATTCTAATTATTCTAATATTCGAATTTGATACGTCACCCTTATCTTTTATCTATTACTGGAGCAAAAATTTTACCGAAAATCAACGGTGAATAGTGGCGAACCGCGTAAACCAAATGTGGAAACGTGCTGGGTGGTACGTTTTTATTATTCGCTGGCCTCGATACATGAATAATGACGGAGCGCGCGGCTTGCGTAAGAAGAAACACGGTAATTGTGCAACCGCATTGTAGAGAATTGCTGTCGCCCACTATAATACTTCCGATCCCTTGAAAATCCTTTGCCGCCTCGGATGTCGAGGCTGTGCGTTCACCCTTCACTCGAGACAGATCCAGTGACTGGATTTCGAAACCAACGATCGTTGAATTACAATCAAATGGATGTTTACACAGAATCCTGGTCTTCTAAACTTTTTTTCTTCTTTCCAATTTCACCGAGGATACATTTATTTGCCTTATTATTAAGTCTTTAACACAGCTGAAAATACATTTCCAGTTCAAACAATTTTATTCTATCTTAAATATTCGTTAACTCGAACTTTCGATCTCATTCGCAAGTAAATTGCGGATACTTAAGAATTCTTTTGCATTTTGTAATTTACCGAATGTAGTAGAATGATATGTATCATTTATAAGCTGTAATAAGCTGTAAAATAATGTAGAATTGCATTGAATTGTGTGGAAATTTTGTTTCACATCTCTGGAATCTTTGTAAGGTAACAATGCGCGAAAATCGGTAAATTAATTATGAATCCGTGAAACGTGCAATGTGACTACAACATAGAATATGTACCAAGCCTAGTCTCCGTTATATAGAGCTAACTTAGCGTGACGAGCTCGCTCGAAACTCAAGGCTTAAGAATTACTTTAGAACAGCAGTTGGTTCGGTGTTACCAAAGTATTCCTTTTTTCTTGTTTGCACAAAAGTATCCTTTAAAAAGAAATCATTCTAAACTGATTTATCCTTTATGTTTAAGTAAAATATTTGGGTTCATATGATATGAAATTGTTGATATTAATTTTCTGAACAGCCTTCAATCTTCACATTACAAGAGAAAATACAAAATATCGCCAGACATTTCGTTATTTTCCAAATATAATCTCTTCATTCAACTATTTTTTGTGGCACAACGTTTTATCGATACCCGCCTTCGCAGTCCGGTTTATTTTTTCTGTGTGTAGTCTGTCGATTCGTCTGGAAATAGAAACCGACGAGCTGGGATATATTCGAACCAAAATTTACCACGTGGAAGAAAAATTAGCTCGATGCTAATGTACTGAGTTCCATTACAAAGATGTATTCTAAAAACGTTTATTATTATTCTACATTGCTAATATTCAACTTACTATCTTCTATACGTTCAATAACTTCATTTACGAATATTTACTTCATAAAACGGGCGGCTAGTTTAATTTCAAATATTTCTTCCGTCTCGATCTCTTATAATTGATGTTCATGATAAATTCATTGATAAACAAAAAACTTTATTCTATTTATTAGTTAACGGAAAATAAAATTACTTTATTCTAAACAATAAACTTATTCCATCAGCACAAATTCCTATCGAAGGAATTAATTGAATTAAAAGTGAAAAAGAATTATTCATCATGCTATACGTTCAAGAAATATTTTCATGACTCCCCAGTGGAAGAAAAATATTTCCATTCCAAGATTCCGCGGGCTCGATGAATTTCACCCTTTGAGAGTCACAGAGCTGAACCCGTTCTTAGATCCATATCGTTATACAAGTCGAGATGCGCGAATAGATCAATTCTTCTCCATCCCCATTCTTCCGTCTAGTCTCGGTACAGTTAGAGCTCATTTAGTATGCTACCCTCGCTCAAACGAGACTCGTATCGATTACAGGACCGCAACGAGAATGCGACGACGTTCCCGCCACGTCGTAAACTTCATATTTCCTTCGCGGTCGACGGCCGACGATCTTCGGTCGTTAATATGCCGTCCCTGTTGGGTAATATCCCGCGAAAGTGAAAGAATTCTCTTCAAAAGGGAGCGCTTTGCACCTCACCGCGTGCATTCTGCGAACCCTCAACCTTCAGACTGCAGCTTCCCGCCGCGGCGCACAATGGAACCATTGAAATTCGAAATTCTATCCGCAGTAATGTAACAATAACGATATTCTCGCTGCAAATTGTTGGGACACGAGCGTAACGGAGTTTCTGCGCGTTTTTCATCCCCCTTTTTCGTGTTACCCTTTACTATTTCTTATTATTATTATTATTTATTTTGTAATTATAGTTTCGTATTTAATTTATTGTAGAGAAAACTTGATGAAAAGGAAATAAAATATAGAAGAAACATTTATAGATGTAGTTTAAAATCAATTATTCGATATAGTTTATCACGGTTCTTTCATCCCTTGTTTCGAAGTTATTACTATGTCCGTGAATAATAATTTTTTCTGTCCGTTTTGTTATCAATTCATTTTAAACAGTAGTTGCTGAACGAAAGAAGTAGCAGGACAAAATGTTTGATTTAAATGAATCGAATGAATTTGTTTTGAATAAATATTATAAGCTGGACATAGCATATTAAATGTTTTTGTTTGAAAATGAACAGGTACGTTATTGCATGTTAATGCAGAATTTATCTGATCGAACGTCGCAGTAACGAACGAAGAGTTCTCGCTTGTGCAGTCATTGAAGTCTCCGAGCTGGTTTCCTCTCTTGTCTTCGCGTGTTCTCTTACAGAAAACCTCGCAGCTTCAACAACCAATTTCATCCCTTTAAAGTGAACGTTCGTGGAGTAAAGAATATTGTTTTTTGTAAACTTCCTACGAAGTTTTACTGGAATCATAATTTTCGAGCTTACAACCTCCCGCGAGTTTCGTTGGATCATTATCCATTGGCCAGCGAAAGAGGATTTACGAAGACACGCTATTCACCCCGTGGCGAGATCATAGCGATCATTATACCCTCTCGACGAGACGGATCTCTGGCAACTTCTTGGCTACAATCTTAAGCCGCAAGGAATCATTTCTGAGGATTATTTCCCCTACAGGTCGACCTTTCCCAGCGTCCTTCTCGGAACTCGTGTGAACTCGCGCTGAATTGGTGCGCTGAGGGAAACTCGAGCTTACAGACGCGACCGCAGTGTAACATTTCTTTGTATTTTGACTGGAACATTCAGAATTTCAATTTAAATAAGAAAGAAGTATATATTTCTGGTAGATCCTTATCATCGAAAAATAATATTTTCATAAATTTCTCTAATTGAATACCTTTTTCTTAAAAACTCTACTTTAGTTTTTAGAGTCTCAATCTTCTAAGATTAGCAATTAATATCTAAGATTTCTGAATAAAATTTTCAATAACAATAGCAATTATAATCATGAATCAATAAGTCATATTTCATCTAACATTCAGTTATTTCTTTCAAGATCATTGCGTAGAACGAAATAATTGAACATTTCGATACATTACATTGAGAATCTTCTAGTATCCATCAACAGCTTGTTAATATGTAGGATGTTAAGGATCTACAATATTTGTAGATTTGTAAACCAAATTGTAGACAATATATGTAGACCAAAAGCATCATTCTTCTTTCAAAAATTTGTATAACGAATCGGCAAACCAATCGCGCGTTATCGGTGTCCAATGAAGTTCGGTGCGAGTCGATCTTACTGCGCTCTCAGCGCAGCGACAGTGGGCGAGCACACGTCATGGACGTTACACATTTTTTCATATTTTTTTCCTTCCTCTCTTCGCGGTGCGTCGAGGAACAACCGTTGCAGATCTTGTGCAAACGACCCCAGTGGGCGAGTTTCCTGGCGGTGTTCGATATGGCAAGGACGGCACGACGTTCGATCGTCCGGTTAAGACACCTTGTATGGAGGGACAGCGAGGCCGCGTGTTCCGTTCGGGAACTCTCCTTTCTTTCGGCCCTACATTCGTTTCTCGGAATCCGTCCGCGTATCGACCGTTAATCGTTCGACTCGCCTATGGGAAAATGTGTGTCGCAAACCGCGGGGAACACGCTGAGATAGCATCATACACGGGACGGTGTAAAAAGACGCACGCCTGCTCGGTGAAAATGTCGATGTATTGTCGGGCATGTCGGAACATGGATTCCATGCCCGCCGTGTATAATTTATGGCATCGTTGATCCGCTGCTCCGTCGCGTCGGTCAATAGATACAGCGATCTAGGTGATTTACGGGGATCGCGGGATTATTAGAATTTTCACAGTAAAGTGGATTGTCGAGGAAGGAGCGGAGTTCAGAAGTTGTTTACTTTGATGTTAGACTAATTCGCATTTGTTGAATGTTGCTTTGGATTAGAGTTGATTTGATTTGAGCTTGAGAGACAGTAATTGATTCATGTAGTAAAATAGTATATGTACAAGGTTACTACTTTGTTGCATTGAGAAATTGAAAATTTAAGGATTTAATGAATGAGGAATCATTTAGGTTTGAGGGAATTATATTTAGACCCTTGAATTTGGTGGATTCCTAATATAGGTTGTTGGGCTCTAGAAACCTGTAACTTAGATTCTGGGACTCTAGAGATTTCAAACTTAGGTTGTTCGACTCCAGAGATCTCTGACTTGGGATCTTTGATCTTGAAAGGTCTCTAACTGAGAATCCTTTGAATACGTCATGTATAATATTAATAACAATAGAAGATAATCAAAGAATATTTTTAACGGTCGAAATTATTCGTCATTTAGGACCACAAAAGTTCTTACCACCGTTGGTGTATCACTGGCGGTTAGGACGATGTTTGGCGGCACTACAAACGATCCTCGGTATCGCGATCACAGCACTCTCGCTATGGTTACTACTTTGGGCGCCTCATCTGCCTGTCGCTGATAATCCTTACTGGAGCGGCATGCCGGTAAGCGTTGCACTTCTCTCTTCGCCTTCCTAGAAAATCGTTAAATGGCAGTTGTCTCTCACTTCCACTGTTCCTCTTGCAGCTGTTACTCTCGGGAAGCTTCGGAATTTGTCTGCTGTGTTGTTTCAAGAAGGAATATCCAGGAATGAGTCCTGGTTTCTGCCTTTCGTCTACTAAGGTAAACGAAATATGATCACACTTCTATAATTGGTTGTTTCAATCTTAAAATTGAAGCAAAAAATTGAAGATATGGAGGTCCAAATTACAAACGTTCTAAAAGTACCATTTTCAAAATTAACCGATCAAACAATGCGTTACTTTCAAAATTACTCTCATAATTTCAAATAAAATTAATCTCCTCTCATTGTTTACCTACCAATATGTTATTCATTAGTAAATATAATAATATTTTATTCAGATCTTCTTTGTTCCTCCGGACAGGTGATCAGCGTGTTCCTCGCGACCCTGGCGACAGCTACCTGCGCCGTGGCCTGCGTCTTTTCAGCGATGCACCTGGCGCGTCTCATGGGGCTGGAGTGCAACCCAGCGCGCGTGTTGAACGCCACCTGCGTTTGCAGACCTCGTGTGGACGTAACAAACTCCACCGAGTCAGCGGTCAGGTACATGGACCTAAACTGTCCAGAAGTGGAAAGCATTTTGACCATTCTGCTGATATTCTCGTGTACCTGCAATGCGCTCGGCACTTTTGTGGCCGGCTGGTACACGTACCTTCACTGGAGTACCAGGAACAAGCGGCCGAAGTACATGCAGGTTCGGACCAATCCCAATGTCGCCACTAACTACCTCAATAGCCGGCCGATATACAACCCGAACTTGAACGAACGATGACGAAACCCGTCTGAAACGGAAAGACACACCTCTTATCTTCGATATTCGTCGTTGACAATAGACGATGGGACAATCTAACTCGATTCTGAAATCAGTGCTGTTGGTAAACGGCTTTCACAGTAGGTCGAAGAAGATCATGGACTTCTTTCGTTGTTCAGAGATAAATGAGACTGTTGTACAGAGTGAATAATAAGTCTGACTATTTGGAATGTCTCCACTATTTTTAGAGGTATATCATGTTTTTATTGGCAAAAATAATAAAGTACAACATTCCAGTGATTATATTCTTTGTGATTGAAGGTTTCCAGGAAATTCCAAGGTCATTTCTGGAACTCGTTGATTTGCAGACTTTTAGATTTAATATAATTACTTTCTGACAGTTTATGTTAATTTTGATCGATAATGATATGAGTAATTATTTGCTCTGATTGAATTACGCATGCTGTTTCATTTCCTCATTTTGAATTCCTAATTTTAACCTGTCTATAGTATATCTATTTTTCTGAGAATAATATGACACGGTGCATAACACGTGTTCATAAATCTACCGTTAAATAACGTAATGACCTTTTATCCTTCATAGGATAATAACTATTTAGATGATTTGAATAATCTGTAATGTGAAACTTGTTACGTCATAAGTAGACTTCATCAGTTCCGCGATTGCTTCATTTAATGTCAAATGATTTCATATTATAGGATATCAAACTCGATTAAATGTTTGCTATCTTAGCAAAGACAAAGAGTTACAATATGTCTTTTGAAAATTAGAAATCACCTTGAAATCTCTGTAAAAAAACACTAAACCTTAGAATTTTATAGCTTCTATATAATTCATACAAAATTTCCTCGTATCTCTAAAAATAATAGGGACATGCCAGGTGGTCAAAATTATTGCTCAACCTTGCGCGCTACATTTGTGTCAAGATAGTCTCTCTGTGCAGCTGCAGACGACCGTAACGTTATAAAAGCGTTGCGCAAGTGCTTGTTTTCCGAGTACATTTGAAAGTGACGACACAGCGAGGATACTAACCGCGACGAATCTAAATCGACCAAATGGCGTTTGGTCCAAGATCATTGTCAGCGTTTTAGAAAACAGCGTTTTTGATCTAACGGTGGAATCAATTAGAAAGTGTCTGCTTTGCACAGTTCTGGTCCTGATATCATTTCTCATGAAAATTGCGTGTCAAAAAACAAGAGCGATGAGCTTAAGCTAGAACTTAGGATCTAGGGCAGCGGCCGGAAGTGGAAGCGCGCGCGAACTAGTCCCGATTCATAAGTAGAGTTTGTGGATTAAAGTGACGACTGTGTTTTGTAAAAATGGCAGCACAAAGGGGAGCGTGGATATTATTAAACTTTTTGTATAAACACGCCAGAAAGTAATAGGAATTAATTGTCGAAATGTGTTCTAAATATTTATTGTAATATAAACAACGCATGCTATAATAACTAATTAGTTGATACACGTGTCGATAGAATTATCGATCGTAATTGCATTTAACGACGGAGCGCAGTTGAGTTTTTAAGGCTTATGTAATCGCTAACTTTTTTGTAACACTTCCCGTGACACGTTTTTTTGGATGTTCCGTTAACGTGATGAGTGTATAAGTTTCTAAGCATGCGTATCGTTGAATTCTGTATTATTTAAGTAAAAATTCGTTTTCGCATCGGGAAACTATTCGATCCGAGCACTGTCATCGATTTTCTAAGATGAGACGATCGTTTTCTGTAATGATTCATTAGCATTGAGTTTCGATTATTCATCGCGACGAAAAAAAATACGAGAAACTGGTAGAAAATAATAATTGAACGGACAACGGGTCACTCCGCGTGCAATTAATTTCCACGTGGGTCGTCAGTATTTTAGTTGTAATTAAAGGGCCTTTCGACTTTGCGAATCGAGAGGAGAATCGGCTCCTGAATTTTTCTCTTAAAATTTGAGAAATAAATTTCAATTTCTTAAATTTTAGCGGAAAATCCCAAATCTAACAAAAACGATTTTCCAAAGACGCAAGGCCCGTCTTGCGAGTGTACGTCCACATGACAAGCGTGAAAATTTTTTCTAACGTTTCGCGGCACTCAATGAGAGAACGTGTCTTCGATTTTATACCTCAATATAGAAAATCTGTAAGAAGCGCTAGTTTTTAAGATTTTTCAATCGACGAACCGCGACTATGCAACGTGAAATGGAATGTGACGCGGATGAAGAAAGAATCAATCATGTCAGTATTAAAACCACGAGGATGGAGGAAAACAAACTTTGAGCCTTTTTCTTTTCTTTTTCCTATTTTCTTTTAATGCGTTTATTTCGCACGACTAGGGTCGTGATTCTCCACAGAAATCGAGCGATGACTCTCCGATCTCCCCTCGGCTTCGTTTATCCGGATTTCCGGTATCACCGCGCAGTCGCTGGATTGAGATTCCCAGGAGTCGTGTAGAATCCTTGTTGTTACTCTGTTTAATATAGATATATAGCAGATGAAAACACTTATTTTCGTGTTACTTAGATTGTTTCATTTTTTTAATCATTTACTAGCGTGTTAAAAATTGATTAATAACGACTATGAATATTTTAATAAATTTTTTGGTTTGTACTCTGTGTAATAATCGAAATATCAATATTAATAAAATATCGGTATTTCACTTTTCCATTGAAGAAAAATAATTACCCGGTACGCGCCCTAATTGGTCCTTTCTCTTTGTAATTGTTTTCCAAGGAATGTTGAGCGCATACTTGATCATGGAATAAGATATCCTCTTCAACGTCCGTTAGCTCTGCCAGTTCCGATGAGGACCGATTCCTCCCGTGCAGTTCAACCGAGTTCTCAATCGGTACAGTAGTTTCCTCCGGTTCAGCTATAAGCCACACGAAAGTTCCAAAATTCGATGTTAATATTTACAAATATACTGCGAACGTTGGTGTATTTTTAGATTCATTAGAGATACCCTATAGGAATCTCAATTAGCATAAACATTCGAAACTACGTTAATTTCGATTCCGTTATTCAAAGACCTTTGGGTGCTTTGGTCCTCGTCGATCGTTTAGACAAGGCCGGCAACATCTTTTTCCATTTTAGGAACGGCGCGTCGACAAGCTCCTCCCTTTTTTTTACGATTTTGAACAGTTTGCGTCGCTCTTCTGTTCGCTCGTGGCGCAATTGTAACTGAAACACAACGTTGGAGCCTCACGAAGGTAAACATTTCAATTTGAGGAAAGCTTCCGTTTCTTTCAACTTCAATAATGTTTTATATTGAAAAATAATCATTTTTATATCTTTTAATATTTTTGATATTTAATAAAAATTGTTTACAATTTAATTTTGACTCGCCATTACTCACCATTACATTCATGTTTACTGTTTCAAAATATTAAATCTTTTGCTTGAAGAATAATCAGAACAATTTTATAAACAGTAAGAATATTTTTTTGAGTCATTGGACACAAATAATTGTAAAAAATTGCAATACGAAATATGAACACAGTCTTGATGCTGCTGTATCACCTTCAAATCATCATTGACTTCTCTCAAGGATCCGGTAAGAGACACCATGTAATAAATGATTAGAGTCATTAAAACGATCAGTGGGATCACGATGCCCGGTGAAGCGATGTAATCCAGACATCTACAATATGAAATCTTGTAAAATCTCTTTTTACCAAAACATTACAGTTGGACGATTAGAGCTGAAAATTACCTTTGTATAGGTTCCGGAAGAGAGTTCGTGAGTTGTTTGGTTGCCAAATGGTAGATCTTCTTGTAACCAGAAAACGGGCCGCAGTGCCAAGATGGCTCCACCCAAACGATCGCGTAACCGACCGGCAGTACGCACAGGAAAAGCATCGTTAACAACAGAGCAAAGTAAAAATTGTTGGACCTGTAAAAAATAAATATATTTACATTTTAAAAAATATCTACACAATCGCTTTATATAAAGTTTCTGTGCAATATTTTGCATAGAATGATATTTATAAATATCCTATATAATATTTTAAATTAAAATTCAATATTTCCGTTTATAAATATTATTTTTCATATTAAGTTGAATAATAGCTAATTAAATTTAACGACGATTAGTAACTCTTCTTAATGTCCTCTAAACCTTAGTTTATTCTTCACTTAATTTTATTTTATTTCCCTTTTTGTAATTTTTAACACTGCCAGTCTCCTAAAAGTTATAAGAAATTATCTGTTAATTACCTGGAGGCGCGAAAGATCACTTCGTGTGGCACGTTGCATGTAAGAACCGCCCAGGATCGCAGATACATGACAATACCGAGTTTCAGAAGATTCAGTGCAGTTAAGCCCGGACTGAAGAACATTCCCATCCAGATCATCCCCTGGTTGTTGACCAAATGAAGTATGTTCTCCGCTATTTTAAAGTCCCCGTATTGAGGAAACTGTTTTTCGAGGTCCCAGCACCAGAAGCTGTTCATGTAACGAACGAAAACTGCCCGGAAGAAGTCTATACTGAGCGTACTCACTATGATCAGCACCTAAAGCGTGGATCTTCATGTGAATTGAAACTTTTTAAAATTGTATCATACTTGAAAAATTTCTTTACATGTCAAACAATTTATGAATAAATTATTTACAAGCAATGTAGGAAAGATAAATGACTTGTTTTGAATATTTAACAAAATTTTAAATACAATCTCTTTTATTAGATTTCATGAGTTTTTTAATTATCATTGTGTTAAATTTGTAGCAAAGTTTCTTCGTTCCATTTAATGTACACTTGATAGAAAATGACAATTAACAAAAGAACCAGTTATGTAATTTCTCAAAAATACATTCAAATTTAGTTTACCAAATCCATGACTGTCAACTTTGCCAGTTCCTGACCGAACATCGTCTCCCAGCACAAACGACGCAGCTTTTTTCGTGTTTTCAGGTCCAACACCTTCGACGAGGCAACTGCAACGAAAACACGTCACTCGCAAGACATTACCTTTCGATTCTTTAAAATTCCAAGCGAGCGCAACAAGTCTGTCGATTTAAATAACAGAATTCAACTTCTACTAATATTTCTATGTATGAAAATATTAAAACAAAATTAACCGACAGAAATTCAGCGTTCGCCGAATCACTTCTTCTCACTTGTGTCCTGCGTGGTCGTCGTGCAAATTTGCTCGAAACATCTAACATCGTAGTCTTGTTTGAGAGGAATCACATGCTCGTTCATTGAGTTGACTGAAGAATCACTATTGCCGGAAATGCTTGTCACCTGTTCCGTCGAGTATTCATTAGACTCTTCGATAAAAGTAGTCGTGACCGACGATTCGGTATCAGTTTGTAGTATGTTAGGAATAGAGTACTCATCAGTCGCTTGAGTCTCTGCAGCAGTGTCCTCAGACGAAGAAATAGTAATCAAATCCTCATCCGTGACTGTTGTATAATTTATATTCACAGTTGAATCACTGGCTTCGTCGTAAGGCATTGACACGTTGAACATCGTATCGTTAGTGTCGCCGATCAAGTCGATAGAATGTGTACCAATGAAATCTTTATCGACAAGAATCGGAGTAACGTCCGTGGTTTCGTTTGTATTAGTAATTTCCGATGTGAAATTGTCTTCCTGAAAAATGTTCTCTATCGAAGATAACGTCTCATTATGCTCGACAGTTTTTGAGTCTCCCCCGTCGATATCGTACATATAATCCGAGTAAGTATAATCGCCGACATTGTAGATCTCTTCGAGCGACTTGTCGTCGAGTATAGGGTTCAGGTAGAAACCTTTGGGCATCATTGAATTTTCTGGCAATGCTGTGTTAACGAACAACATAATTTCAAGGAGTTATTTAATAATTAATGTGTAATAATTGGTAATTGAAAGTATTTAAAATAGAGGGATTATCCAAGAAAATAAAAATATACGAGTGCACAAATATTTAGAATTTTTCCTTTGCAAAACAAATCTTAATAGTTCCAAAAGTTTTGCTATGAAAACGAGATAAATTAGAGGTAATGAAACTTACTTGTTTCATTTTGGTGTTGTAGACTAGTGACGTTGCCTGCTAGTATTAAACTCAGGGATGCTAACGCAGCGAAGTGTGGCGACTTCGTGATCTGATTATTGCACTCGATGGGTTTGTATGAACAATTTGTGATCGTTGGTTGCAGATCTCGTAGGTCTTGCTTCTGCAATGTCAGAAGATTCTTAAAGCTTATGAAGAATTGTATAGAGAAAGCAATGTACATATATAATTCCACGTACCATTGAGTCGATTTTTTCAAACAGCGCAATTATCAGTGAATAGAGATTCAATAAATTAAGTAGCATTATTCTGTAACGTACGAAAGATTTCATCTATTTAGTATTAATAAGGAAATTCTGGTTATAAGTGAATTTGAATTTTCTTGATTTACGATTTATAATTTAAGGTTTGATTAATTAAACTAATTAGAGGAACGCTCTTTGGCTGACTCACCGTGCTAGTTGCAGGCGTAACTGTTTCCTCGGATGATAGCTTTCCATCAGGCCCAATATCTCAAAGAACATCGGAAATAAGTACGTGATTAGGGACATTACCACTGTAATTTCGTTCTGCCTCCACCAGTCGTTCTGCTCGAACTCCTGAGCACTCCGCGCGACTACTTTTACTACTGCATACGCTGATAGTGCCAGTAACGATATCACGGAAATGTTCACGAAGATTCTCATCGATATAACTTTCCAACTAAAAAATAATTGACGATTACAATATACGTAAATATGGAAAGTATTTACATTAAATATCCAATTTTAATATTCGTATTATTAAAATACTACAGTACAATAATATTTAAAATATTCATATGTACCTTTTCGCACACAACCTAGTAATAATTAAATCTACTGAAGTACTGTCGTTTCAAAATGAACACTTTCCTTAGTTATTATATTTTGAAAAACAATTGGTTTTGGAAAATTGAATACGTAAATATAGCACAAGATATTAAGATATTAAATAAAAAGATATTGTTTAAATAAACAGAAGGTAACAAAATGGCAGCCGCAGAATAGGAAACATAGCAATAGGACTAAAAGATGAATTTACTTTCTTTCGTCTTTTTCCTTCTCAGCTTCCTCGAGCAAGGCTTCCTTGAATCCAAGGACGATGCTGGCCATCCGATTATGCGCGGTTTCCGGATTGCCGATCATAAAATCCCACCCTGTGAACAATTTCCACGAGAAAATGCATTCGTCCTCTTTCTCGGTGAGCTTGCTCAATCTCGAATTCTTTGCCATTCTGAAACACACCATTGATACTTACTAACAATTTTCTGTTTATATATACTGTTATATTTAATTTAAAAAAATTTGAATGGTTTCAGAAGATAGCGTATAGACGTTAAAAATTACTAGTTTAAACTAATTGCATGTTTGTGCTACTTATATTCGTTATTCATTTCATTTTTGTTATAACGAAAGAGAAAGCGAAGTCTCTTTGGTGTTAGACTGTTTACTGTTGCTTACTTGCGCAATATGGCGACGAAACTGTAGACATAGATGACCAAATTGGTGACGAAATAAGCGAGTGGCAGCCTGTATCCGCTCTTCGAGTCTTGATTGGTGTACCAACCATAAAAGAACGGAGAATACTTCAAAATCCCCTCGAACTCCCACAGTGTTAGCAGATGTTTCGATTTAATTTTCTCGTCTTTGAGCATGATCTTCCGTTCACCTGCGGCGGCTGGATCCGCGGTGAGCACCTGTCGCAAAAAAAATGAATCTTCCTGGATTTTGTTAAGTATTTACTAAACTGTGAATCTTATTCGTTCATAGTGTAGGTAGTTCATAGAAAAAAGGTACAATGAAATAATTTCTTTGTCCATTTTCATTTCAGACAATTTGAAATTCATTTAGTGATAAATGAAAATTTTTTAAATGTTTTGAAGAATGTACATTGAAGTTTGTTAATAAAAGATTAGATAATCTAATCATAGAAGATTCCATTGAAGTTTGAATTTCCATTAAACTGTGATACATTTCACTTTTAAAATAATTAAAAAGTTCCCTGAAGCTGGTAAACAAAAATGTTTGAACTACCATCTTGGAATGAAACTTTTGATTAAAGATTGCAATTTTATTTACAAGTAAACGTGATTTTCTAACTTGTTCAATTTCCTCTACCTCTGGGATCGCTACGAAGGCAGTAATGATGACACACATGACGAGATTGATCCAAAACAACCATCGGAGGAAAGTGAAGTAGGAAGCAACCGCGGAGCCAAAATGCGACTCGATCTCTTTGATCCGAAGTTCCCAGGGGATTAGCCATGTTTGAAGATTGACCAATTCTCTTCGGAAGTATTGCCATTTCTATCAACGCAACAACAAAAGAATATTTCGTTTTCACTAGGCAGAATTGTAAGTAATCTTTCTAAAACTTATAACAATACATCTTTCTCGATTTCTTCACACCTTTGTTGTAATATTCAAGCGAAATTATTTATTTTCAATACTTCAAAAATATCACTAATTGCAAAATAAGAAAAGTAAAACCCGTCATTTTTATGAGTACAGTAGTTGTAATGTTAACATATCAAAAATTTAACAATTACAGTTGTTATCTTTGTCGTGAAAAGCGAAATACGCGCGATGGCGTCTTTAGTGCTTCTCGTTTGGGCAAGGCGTTCCTGAAGAACACCTTCGTGCCTTCGAACATACGACTTCGCTTGTCTCACAAGCTTGATCTTGCGACGGAGTGGCCATGGTTGTTGTTTAACGCCGCTCAACACTTCCTTGTGCATCTTCAGTTTCTCGAATATCTGCTCTTGGCTGCCGCTTTCCTCTATTGAAACAGCAGTACTGTGAACAAGCATTGTCGCTTCTCAGTATCTCACAAAAATGTTATATATAAACGTAAAATATAAAGAATGCCATTGATATTCTTCAAACATTTCGCCACGTATTCTGATTTTAAAAAGCAACGTGTATGAAGTTAATTTGTCTTTCATTTGAAAAACTAAACAATCTTGTTCATTAAATTTTTTAAACAAAACAAAAAGTATAATGTGTCGTTTGATCATATATTGTATATTTTCAACTCGACAAAGTAGTATGAAAATATTTCAGAACGAATCACCGACTCTCCAGAACTGATAGTGTAAACGGAGGATCTCCGGCGGAGAGTAGCTTCCGCTTCAACGCTGAAAGGTGACGACGGACGTCGTTTCCGCCTACTTTGCCGTCGGCTAGAGCTTCGACGCTGCATGATCGCGCACGCTGACGCGGAGTAATCATCCTCATCACCTTCTTCCTCTGAAAAGCATTTTCGATGTACTAAAATTATCAACGTTTTCAACCATCATCTTCAATATTCCAGAATTATCTACATTTTTATAAATAAAAATGTCTAGTAATACTACAGAAATAATAAAACCTTTTTCAATGATATAATTTAAAAATTGACTAATATACAACAGTATATTTTACAATACCCGATCTGACCACTGAATTTTACTATTTAAACGATACTTTCACTCTTGAGTGTCAAAAAAATACTATAAAAGAAATCCCCTTAGCACTAGAACTACCGAATAGGTCAGAATGACTCATTCCTTGATATTTTCTGTTGCGTTTACTCAAAAGGTACGAGTATCTCTTTGAGAAATTACTAAAGAAGCTGATTAAGTAATACCTAAGCTGAAGTTTAAACCAATTCAAATCTTAATAAATCCACGTTTGTAGTTTTTATAATGAAATTTTCAAAAGTCAGTTTAAGTGCTCGATAGTTCTAGCTTAACATATTTGCATCAAAGGCTATTATAAACCTCGAACAAATTTTTTTAAAAGATCACAGTGATAAGGAGACAAAAATAAAATCGGCCAAACTTTTTTGGCTTGTCCTTATTTTCACGAACCAGCTATGGATATCCTCTGCATGTCGCTGACTCCCGAATGATCCACTTTCTCCTTTAGCTTCGGTTTTCCGGCAGTTTCCCCCTGTTTTTCGTCGCCGTCGTTGTCGTCAGCGACGGCGAACGTAACTGACACTCGGTCGACCGACGGTTGTGGGGATGAAGGTTCCACCTACATAGCCGGGGAAAAGTTAGCAATTAGTTGCATGAATTTCGCTCGTAGATCATCCATCGTCACGCCACGTGGAGTGGCTAGGCCTAGATAGCTGCTGCCTATGAGATTGGGTGGCAAACGATAAGGCTGAACTGGATTCGAGAAACGCGATTCTCTCCACCTTGTTACGGAGTCTTTCATTTAACCCTCTCCCTTATAATTTGTTTCGTGTCTAAATTCACGGAAGTCGCTTCATCGTTAATGATACTCAAACAGAAAAATATTCAATGTGCGATATAAGATTAAATTTATTACAAATACCTGTAAGGTCTTACAGCTATGCTAATTTGATTAAAGGGAATAATTAATATTCATATTTATCAAATTTAATTAAGATTAAAAAAAGTTTGAAGAAGATTTTATGAATCTAATCGACTTTTCATAACGTCCAAGTAAATACTGAGCCTTTCTTTAATTTCTTTATAGATAATGAAATAACATTAAAGATTCTTTACTTATCTGCAAAATTATTCTACTGTCTTATGGACAAAAAGGTTTTTGTATTTCTTTCCGAGAAGTTAAAGAATGTTTAATAACAGCCCCTGTGGCCTAATGGATAAGGCATCGGTCTCCTAAACCGGGGATTGTGGGTTCGAGTCCCACCAGGGGTAATTTCTTGTGAAAGAATCTTTTAATTTTAGTTTGTTATTAAAACTTAATGGTTTGTGTACACATATGGACACTATTGTTTCGATATGCGATCATAATTGTTTTTATCCAATCTTTTTGTTTATTGATTCGCTTTCATTTAAACTTACAAAGTGTAGCTATATAACTAGGTACTAAAATCATCTGTGTAGCAGATCAAAGGATACATTAAAGAATTTAACAAAAAAAATGTATTGAGGTGACTCACCACTGTGTTATCCGAATCAAGTAACAGACGTTCTTATCAATAATCTTCTGCAATAACTCTAACAAACTTATACCAAATTTCACAGCAGCTCTAACTTCCTTGAACTAGATAAATTTCTCTGTTCCCTTAAAACTAATCACCAAAAATTTCTGTCATTCAAAGAAAAGTACAAATTATAAGACTCTTCCGTTAAAAACTTCTAACCATATTCTTCTTACATCATCAACAAACATAGTTTCAAATCAGCAAAAGTCAGCTGTGATCACTGAGGAACTTATGAAACGACGTAATATTACGCCCACAGCTGCGAATGTGTTGAAAACACGTGTCAAGAATCGGCTCACAAATAGTCACTTGAAAGTTCAAGAAAAGCGGAGCGTGGGAGATTTAGGGACACGTTTCAAGCTTCTAATAAAATTCCGGAAAGTAGTACTTAGTCGTGTGACGGAACGATTCGTGAAAATTGGAAAAGGTCACAGGTGAATCAGCGTCGATGGATTCGAAGGAACTGCCGTGGCGTCAATAGCAGAGGACCGGTCATCCCCTGAGGGAACCGCGCCTGTATCGGAGTCCGTAAGTCGGCCATAATGCCCGTGTCCACTCGATATCGGGGACACGGGTTCCCGGTGACTGCTACAAATCTTTGAAATCACGAAAGGCTGTACATCACGCGTAAATAGAGATGGTTTGCTTTACGATGGAGGGTTACACCGATACTGTCCAGCCTGGGAAACAAACGAGGCGTTGTAACGATGTTTTAATTTCGTCCGAGCAGTGGCGATGCCGAGGTTTCTTGTGATTTGCTCGATAAAATTAATGATCACCAGATTCGGGTGAATTCAAGTAAAATGAAAGATTCACTGGGAGTATTAGATAAGTTAAATTTAATGGAATCTTCTCCTTTTACTGAAACTGTGCTTTTGTGAGGAATCATTAAATAAATTGATTTAAATATATAAAAATTAAAGTATGAATTAATTGAGGTTTCAATAAATATAGTTTTATCATTTGCATAAGAAAATATGAAATTTATAATCTTAATTAATTTGAATTATTGTTTATTGATACCGTATTCTTGTTTACTGGTATGATGTTATTGTTGAAAGTATACAATTTTAAATGGTACAGGTGAATATTTGATGAAGTATAATATTGTGCAAATTTCAAATAAAAGAGTACTGTAGTTCATTAAGAATCCAGTGAAAGGATTAAGGACAACAAGGCAGATGATCCAGGATTTCAGGATCGGCCGCGCCTTAACGAGTTCTACGACACGTTCGGACGCGCCATCATGACCGTGTATTTAAGTACACCTCGCATTTCTCATGCGACCCCACCCTTAGCTTCCTGCGTAATCATTTCACTCGGAAACTGGCGTCGTGTTACACGCGAGTTCCATGGGCTCCCCAAAATCACCCCCAACCCTGTTACTCGTGCACAGTCAATCCTATGAGCACTTGAAATTCGTTTGACTGCGAAGTCACGAAATTCAACGATTATCATTTATTCCCATGTTGCACCATGTATAAACTTGATGAATGTCCGTCTAAAAAAGATATTTTCTCAAATTAATTTTTGAACATGACATATTCACCTAAGAACAAATACTTCTATTTGATAATATTCTATGCGTTAAAGTTATTTCTATTAGGGAAAATATGAATATTTCAAAATAATATAGCATTTAACAATTATAATATAATCTTCGATTTGTTATTTTATTGAATATCTTATAAATTATTGAGACTCAGCTAAAAATTCATAATACAAATTGTGCATTTTTAAATGGTAATTTTTATCATATAAGTAGGTCTCCGAGAAAGTCATTTGTGTCAAGGACATATTAAAAACATTGACATGAAATTTACCTGATTGCGAACGTATTTGTAACGTGACCAACTTTACACACGTGACCAGTGATTAAAGCACATTTATCAGAAAAAACGTGACCCCACTGATCAGATACTCGTTTTTCCCATTTAGTCTGCAAATTAATGGCAAACAGACGAAGTCTAGCTGCTCATTAATAAATTATCTAATATCACTCGAACGTGATAACAGCTCTTAGTGCTCACGCGATGACAAGCTTCTGTTTCGTTACATTTACTGATTAAACAAATGCAGAGCCATCAATTAAAACGTAAATAACATGATGTAAAAAAGCACAATTATTGATTGAACAAGTAAAAAATTGAAAATTTACTAAGACATGAAATCTAATCACGAATTAACATCTTCCTCGACTATTGGTTAATTAAGTTCCTTTTATTTAAGAATCATTAAACTTATATACGAGGAAATAAAATTTCTATTTAATTATTTCCTTATGCCAATCTGATACTATTAGTAATAGAAAATTGTAGACTAATAATTACCTGTTGCGGTGATATCAACGGAGACGTTGCTCTCGATCGAGACCGCGGTACGCTGTTCGATCTTAAAATTCCACCCGATCTTTCCGTTAACTGTCCTTCCGCTGTTTTTAAATCGTCCTTCTTTCCTTTATCCATTTTTTATCACTTCCCGTAGCGACTTTTCGAGTAATTAGTTTAATAGAATAAAAGAACAAATTTCGGTCTGTAATTTGCCTACCGAAAGGTAGCCAACGTTACCGGAAATTGCAACGGAAATTACTTTCTTTCATTTCTACCTTATACAGCATTCATCAGGAATTCTTGGAAATATTATTCTTAAACTTATTTCTTGAATAATTACGTATCGATCGTTCGTTTCTAGGATTTTAAAATTCGAATAATTTTACAATTGAAGTTGGTTATTATGTATTTGCAATTCGAAAAATGAAAGGACTAAAGGTTTCGAAGCTTGAAAGCTCTATTGTTCTGCTCTTTTCGCGGTCTCGTGATACACTGGTCGCGGTAGTAAACTTACAAGCTCTTTCAGAATAATGAAGCTCGCAACATGATTACCTTATGGATCATAAAAGACAGCAGCACGCATTCGGCTGCACGCCACTGACATGGCGGACGTAGTACGAGTCAAATGAAATGAATATTTGTAGGGAGGACGGGGGAATAGGTGTAGCTAGCACAGTCAATGAAACACGTTGGTAGAAATGTTGACAGATCAATTTTATTAATTGGCCATTGTGTTCCAATGAACTTTCATTCTATATTGACAGCTTTAAGGTTTTCCATGTTGAAGAATTTGCCGTACTCATTTGCATTTATTTCTTCAAAATCTCAATTCACATTCCTTAATTATCATTCAAATGTATTACGCAAGGAAGATCTGTATTTATCATGATTTTAGTTGGGCACTGTGGACTCAACGGACCATTTCATATTTTGCGTCAAATAACAAGACTATACCCAATGAATCTTTAAGTGCCACGTTGAAATTATGTATGTTACAAAAGTGCATTTTTTTTGTAAATACAATGTGTTTGTGTCCTAGAGAGATATTAATCTAAATCCAGTGTATTTTTTCATTTCTCGACATAATGTGTCTTATGTAAAACGCTTGACATTTAGCAAAATATGTACAAGAATGACGATTCACGTATGTACATTCAATTACCATACGTTGATCACAAACGTTTTCATTCACTCTAGTTGAAAATAAATTTTCCCCGGAACCCTACACACTTTGGCACAGACTTTGACAGTGTAAAGAAATCACTAGTTCGCGTTATATTTGCGTTTTACCGTTCTATTAACATCGGTTTTCTTTTCCCAGTCTTGTTCGTGGTTCTTTAATCAATAATTTTCTATTTTTCTGTTTCACAAACTAAATAAAGTCTATGGTAACTGTAGGATTGCTGTAAATGCTGCGTGATGGGCGTCATTGTAAAACGCATACCAATGGAAACGTTAGAGAATAAAGAAACAATTATAAATGAAACTTTGAAATCAATATTTCCCCTGCTATATCAAAAACTAACATTCCAAATCCTAATATAAACACCGTACTGTGTTTATGCACAATAATTATATTAACCAGTTCTAACTTTTAATAATATACGCACTCAGGTAGAACAACAGATAAGAATTTAATATTAGTTTAATATAAATTTCATAAACACTCATTGTCAGTTAAAATCCATCCAAGTTACTCGAGAATGAAGTTTCCTAATCTTCCAAACTTCAATATTATAAGCACCACTGCTAGTAATCCAAATTCGATTATTTGTGATGCAAAGTCATTGGAATTGTGCAATAACTTCAACATGATAAATTCAGAAAGTGTATTGGTCCAGAAAAAAAAGAACTTCAGAAAATCTCTCAAAATTCTAAGAAAAAAGTTTCTCTCTACATTGTTCTACCCGAGAAATGATATGTAGATATTTTCTTTAACCTCTTAAGGCTTGATTTCTGTTTCAATTTAAAATCAGTGAATTTTTTATAATTGAAATTCAAGTTTTTTCCAAAATTAAAAATTATCCATGCTAGACTGATACCCGAGACTGACCCTTAAGAGGTTAACCGATTAAGGGCTATTTTTGGAAAAGAGTTCTTCACTTAGTCGTGTGTCGTGCCCAGGTGGTCCTTTGCACTTCAGACATTAGGTCACTTCTGGAGGGTAAACGTGCGCTGGTAGTGCGCGATGGTGGTGGTCCAGGTGTCCTTAATATGGTTGCCAGGTTCCTCTGGTTCTGAGGGTTCTTATTATTCGTTGATTGATTAATTGAGTTCTCTTTTGCCGATGTCTGCTTGTCCGCAGTATCTGAACGTTTACCCTGAGGCGGAGGATCCAGCACGATTGGTGGTATTTCATCATGCACATTGAGTCGATCCTGTTTACTCAATAATTCCTGGGCTAAATGGACAGCAGTCCTGTCGCCGGTACAGGGCAACGGTTTTATGAACGTTGACTTTGATTCTTGAGCCTCCAGATTCATTCCATAATTATCTGGCTTGTGTGTCATTATTGGCGACGATGAGAAGCTATTTGGTTGAGAGACTCGTAGAGACATGGAGCATGGAGATAGCTGAGCTGAGTTCTGTAAATTTTAAAAATTGTTGCAATAAGTAATATATGCATATTGTGCGGTAATACTGAATACCTCATTGTTATCTTGCCAAATAACTAGAAAATTTCTAACACAGATGAAAAAGTAACAAACGAAAAAATAAAAACAAATGATAAGTTAATTAACATTTCCTAGTTGTATGAATGATCCCCTATACTAAGTGTTCATCAATCTTAAAACATTCAGAAATACTATTACACATTCTCTTCTGTAACTAGAGATGTGAAATATTCTGTGTCAGAAACAAAGTTAGTTCACTCACAGACGGTCTACTGTTGGGAGGTAGAAGAAGACTAGCACCCATTGCATATGGAGATGGTGTATTGTATGGTGACCTTTGTGGCTGATATGGACTTATGTTATGCAATCTCTCTAACAGCTGCGTTTGAAACTGCAGTTGATCAGTTGTGCTACTGTTGGCTTGAATCCCTAGTGTATTCAGATTTCCGGAGTACAAAGACTCCGGTGGATAAGAACAGTAGGGAGACGGTGGGTCCAATTCCCAGGGTGAGCTTTGTCCTCCTGTCCGTTGGCACTGATCATAAAATACAATATTAGAATATTGTTCTGAATGGATATACTTTTACTCTATACAAGCAATGTTACAAAGTGGCATTTAATACAAAAGAAAGATGCATAATATATAATATCAATTGCAATATATTGTATATAATAACATTAATTCTTATTTTTTAAAAAAAAGGATTTCAAATTATGAAGAGGAATGTTTCAAGTACTTGGAACCTTAGGTTTCCAATTACGGGGAAGGTATAGTGAAGATTCATAGTTAAGAACGTTACCTAGCATTTGTTGGTGGCACAAAGTCCAAAGTCCCGTGCGAAGACCTGTTACATAATAGCGTCACACCGGCGCTTAGCACGATTATTGGATTAGCGATTCAGCTTTAATGCCAGCATTAAATTGCTATCTTCCTGTCGGCCAACTTAGGGGCGAAACGTGTCGCGCATAAGCGGTTGACTTTTCTCGCGTTTCAAAGGCTGCTTGCCATCTAAATTCAGTTTAACCGTATCTGATTGTATTATAAGCCCTCCACATTTTTCTTTCTCAAAATAAAATTTTTATCAGTGAGTTCCTGTCTCTCTCCACAAAATTGTATTATGAGATTTTTTATTGTTGAGAGAACTTTATTGTCACAGACAATTATTCCTACTGTCATTTCATCCCCCTTTATGAACTCGAACTGAAATTGCTCAAAATTTAAAATTTGAAACCGTATAAAAAATTTATTTCAAGAAAAAAACGCAGCGTACTGATGATACAACCGAACATCTCGGGTAATGCGATTCGGGCAAACCTTTTCCCCACGTTAAGTAGAGCCAAGACTGGAAGACGTGGATTCTTTTTCATGTAATCTTCGCGAAAGCAATTCTGTTCAAAACGATCCGGATTATCTGTGTGAGTCTACCCACGTGCAAAGTAACTAGAACATCAGTCGGATTAGCAATTCTTGAGCACACGTTTAGTCGGGGCTTTACCTGAGAACGGAACAATGCAACGCCGCGGATCATCCAGCACAGACAAAGATCACACTCCGGCAAAACAATACGCTCGGCACAGGAAACATTCAAAATCTCACGACAACCCCTGCGCACCGTTCAACAAATAATTATTAGTTGGATATTCAAGAGATCAAGACAACACAATGAACCCTCCTGTAACACAGTTAATTCATTTAAAACCAAACACACACCTGATGTGTAATTAATGGTCATTGATTCTTATTATGCAAAAAGAACAATGTTTACGCCTGAAGACCAACCTTCGAAAAGTTACTGACCTCGAATGGGTTAATTCGTTATACGTTATATCGAAACCATGATCTCAGAGTTAGTACAATTCTCATCAACGGAGTTGGTCACAGGGAATCCCCGTTGATTACAAACGAAGCAGTGTGATAGAAACGTTCATGCTACATGAGAGTTATCCAAGTTGACAGGTCGTGCTACACGAAAACCGTATTACGAGAGGGTTGAATGAATATTACACTTTTTACATCACAAAGTTTATCCATCAGTTTTCAAAGCAGTGCACAAGAGTTGATCAAACAAACAAAACAGTGTAAAATGCGTGTATATACTGCTGTCGCTACCGCAATCCTTCAACCGTTTCTGCGGTGGTTCGGTGACAGGGTGCGAGACAGAAAGAAAAAAGAGAAGGGTGTGTGTGTGTGTAAATCGATTTATTAATATAAAAAA